CCACTATACGAAAACTTTAAAGTGCCATAACTAAGCTCCACAATATGATATAAAATTGTTATTTAGTACAACGAATCCCATTAAGTAAAAGCACTTGTGGTTGAAAAACTTTGAAAAAGTGGGAGTGGCCCCCCTCCTTAATATCGGTAATCCGTTAAAAATTACGCCCACTTCACATTGTGTTAAAAACTACTAAAAGTTCGATAGCTCACTAAATAAATGTGTTAGAAACATTAAAGTTTACATCTAACATTAAAGGGCTCCTTAGGAGCTGTTATCAAAATTAGACATTAAGTATGATTTTTTTAGATTAATGTAACATTATCCTGACACCCCTATGTTACGGTGTGAAAATAGGCGAAAACGGACTGCAACCACGCCTACTTCTCATGTAACACAATTTAAAATTCGATAAGATTCTTTCAGCTTACAGTATATAAATCAAGCAAAAAAGAATATATTAGAAAAAACTCGGATCATAACTCTTCAAACCCCTAGATATGGAATATGTGGACCTCAGTGCCTGACAATTTACCGAAAATATCGGTTAATACGTAAGATATATGCATGTTTTATTGAAATTCAGTCAGAGTCTTTTCCTGATAATAATGTACCCTCATGTCAAAAATGCATAAAATCGGGTCAATACTACCATAGCCTCCGTGTGCTCAATAAAAATATTAAAAATTTACGGTGGACCTTATAGCGTATATATCGATCAACTATATACTACATATAATGATTGCCGTTATTTTAGCAGACTTTATACCTCGTATATCGGTGAGAATGCGTCTTATCTTCATAAAATTGCGTAGAAACATGTAAGTATGTGATATTTCAATGTTTTCATAAACATAATGTGGATTAAATTAAGGCCGTTATCCTTAATATATTGATTTTCGTTTCATTTGTTTTTCTCATATACCCAATAATTAAATTCCTCTCTCTCTCTCCAGCTCTTATATAAAATGTTTAATTGGTAAATGACTACCCCGGAATACTCTCGCAGCATATTGCACAGAGAATAATAGTTTTGTTCTCCTAACGGCTGTTTGTAATGCCCATTCAAGTTAGATATAGATTATATATAAGATCTAGTAAAAAGGAATCAGTAACTTTTCTAATAGGTGACTTTAGTAATCTGTATTTCGTGATGCAAAGTGCAGGTTTCGGAGTATCTCGTATTCCCAAACAGTTTTATAATTGCTGATTCCGTAGGTATGGTTTGAGCATGCGTTAAAGATGGTCCTGTTGAGGTTGGTCGTCAAAGATACACCACGCTCTGGAAGGCCAATCGACGAAAAAATCGATAAAATAATAGAATTGACTGTTTCGAAAGTCCAGGAGCTAAGCATAGCGCAAAACCCCGTTCGGAACCATTTTAACAAGGCTGGATACAACAAGAAGCTCGAAGTATGTATACCACACGGGTAAACACAAAAAAAAACTCATGGACCGAATTTAAATCTGCGGATCGCTGCTTAATCGCAACAGAAGAGCCAAAAGCTCCAAAAGCTTGGTTGCGAGGTTCCTGTTGCAGCCTATAGCCAATGTTTTTGCTGGTGAAAAAATTGCCTCAAGAGAAACATTTGAAAATAGACTTTCCCAGATTTTTTGTCAATAATAACGAGGGTTTTTAAGAGAGTGGCATTAAAAATAAACTTCAAAAAGACAAGAAGTTATAAACCAATCGGTATATATTTACACTAAGTCGAAACTTCTAACTATGTAAGATAAAATCATGAATTTAATGCGAAACTGATGGAATTATTATGCTCTTGCATTAGTATAACAGTTTTGTTCACCTAACATTTGTTTGTATCACATAAAGCTCATCGAGATAGATATGGGGTTATATATATGTTTATAAATGATCAGGATGACGAGATGAGTTGAAATCCGGATGTCTGTCCGTCCGTCCATCCGTGCAAGCTGTAACTTGAGTTCAAATTAAGATATCTTGATGAAACTTGGTACACACGTTTCTTGGTACCATAAGAAGTATGGCATTGTAGATGGGCGTAATCGGGAACTGCCACGCCCACAAATCGCCATTAATCAAAAACACATAAAATGCCATAGCTTAGCTGTAAATTAGGATACAAAACTCAAATTTGGCACAACGAATCACATTATGAATATATATATTATATATATGTTCTAAACTAATAAAGCTATATCACCTACATTTGCACACGACAAATTTTCTTAACCCTTATTACGATAGTGTGAAAATAGATGAAATTGGATGATAACCCCGCCAAATCCCCATATAACGGGTTTGTTAAAAACTACTTACAGTGTGATAAATCAATAACTAAATGCGTCAGAGACATTAAATTTTACATCCAGGATGACACATGACGGCTTTATAGAAGCCAGTGTCAAAAGTGGATGATGGGTGTGTCATCGCCCACTTTTAGGTGAAATCACATATCTCCGGACCTACTCGACCAATTTCAACCAAATTCGATAGATAAAAATCTTTTAATATTCCTATGTTACAGTGCGAAAATGGAAGAACTACAACCACACCTACTTTCCATATAACACAATTTTAAATTTCATCTGATTCACATTCCAGTATACATATAACTGTTCAAATCTAGTTACCGAATTTGTGGACCCTTGTGCAAATATCGGTTAATGTGTGACATATATAATTTAAATTCAGAGGGAATCGTTTCCTGACCATAGTATGTCTGAATATCAAAAATGTGTTGAATCGGGCCAATACTTCCCTTAGCCCCTTTATACCTAATATAAAGATTTTCGAACTTCCGGCTGTTTTTATGCCGCATATACATATGATCGACCGAAATCTGAGTTATCTCAATGAAAATGAGAAAGCGGGTTTTACTAACAACAGTGTATTTTTGTACCTAAAATGGATAAAATCGGGTGAAAACTTGACCTAGCTTCTATATAAGTAATATCAGAATTTTTGAATACCCGGCTGAATTTACTCCATTTAGATTGTTGGTGGTATGTGAATGAAACCCTGTGAGCATTTTATCAGTCTATGGCATGTTAATAGTATGTGGTATTGGCAAAAATATATAAAATTGGGTCGATACTATACTACATCTAATGATTTTCGTTTTTCTAACATGTTTTATGGTGAATATGTTGTTCAGCGTTTGAATTACAATATATATTTAAAAAACTGCTTAAAAATAAGCTCTCAATATACCCTAGTTTCTAATTTTATTTTTATAGCGGACTGTTGAGAATTAACGAATCTTAAAATGGTCACGCGTCGGTTTTTAATGGGCCACGCACCGATATCCCGAAAACATCTACCAGAGAAGATAACACGACAAGAGTCCATTATCTCGTATTGACAGGCTGCCGATTGAACATGCTTGATATAGTTGCAATGGTAGGCATAGGAGATATCGATCTGAAATGTTGCACACGTTCTTTTCTCCCAAGCAGCTGTTCATTGGTCGGAATCGGCGATATCGGTTCACTATACAATATAGCTGCCATGCAAACTAACGGACCAAAATCCAGTCCTTGTATGAAAAACTTTTTTATTTGATAAGATATCTTCACGAAATTTGGTACGACGGTACTATCATATAGCAGCCGTAAAAATTGACCGCTCAAAATAAAGTTCTTATATGGAATCTTTTTTTATTTGGATTTGTATTCTTCTTCACAATTAAAATATTACACAGCTCTACAAAAAAATTTTTTGTTGCTCTGAATAGCTTACAAATTTTGATGTTTTCAAATGTCCAAATTACGAAATTGTTCACGACAATGTCGAATTTTCGGCTAGTTATTAATAAAACATATTTTTACAGTCATTGTTGGGGTAAAAATATGCGAGAATTATGTGAACTTACATTCGATAAATTTCAAGTTTTATTCTACGAAAATCTCCCTGTGCGTTTTAAAAGTTAATATCATGCTCTCAGAAACAACGCTGTCGCCAAATTCTCGGAAATCAGTCTTCCAGTGGAAATAAATGGGAGGAGGAGGAGGGTATGCCAAAATTACTTTCTAAAAATAAACCCATTGATTTAAATTAGGAATGACATACAATTTTTTAAAACAGTGAACGTGGAAAGACTATGCTTTACCTATATTTACAGAATATTTCCGAAGCTTAACGTGGGTTATTTTGTTTCATGTTTTCAGATTTTTGTAATGTTAATTGGAAACAAAGATTTAAAAATAAACGAGAGTAAATCTTACAAAGTCATTGATAGTGTCATGAATATCTAGGGCAATAAAGCCACTGTAGACCATTGTTATTAAGCAGAATAATAATAGCAAAAAAATAATTATTTTAACTCAACTAAACAACGCTAAAACTACATATACATGTATGTATGTATATTAAATATCTAAACACTTTACCCACAGTTTGAAGATCGCTGCTTTTAATTGTATGTCTTTCGTACAGGAGAATTTATAATAAAGAATTTGTATGTACATACATACGCACATATGACTTTAATAATGTACGTCGATCTCTATGTAAACGCAATGTTAGAATTATCAGCTGGCGCACGCTAACAACGTAAAGTGCTTTTGCTTAAAACAAAGCTTGGGCGCGTCAATATCTAATACTCATACTCATACCCAAGCACATATTTACATACATATGACTCTATCAACGTATGTATGTGCAGATTTCTGTGCAATTGTGGTTTCTTGACTCATTTGGCTATGGCAAATCATTTATTAGTACATACATTTGTACACATGTAAGTATGGAATAATTGCTGCCCGCCATTCATGGCTCACCAAGGCGGTGACGGCAGTGGAGCGCTTATGTCATTGTTAGCAGCGAACAGTGCGATCGCATGCGTTCGCGCGATCTTCCTATCAACTCTCGCGAGTACCCACGAATAGTTGTGCATACATGTAAATATGTATGCACCGCCAGCCGCAGTAATGAAAAACGCAAAGGGATATGAAAGAGATTGAGATAGAAAACGGAAACTCTCAATTGGTAGTCAACGCTGTGCTGAGCAAAAATTCTACCGTCAGTCTTTCTCTGATCGCCCCGATGATTTAATTTAAGCTAAAAGTTAACGCACTGTTTGTACTGAAATTCCCACGCGAAGTGAATTTTCTTGGATAATTCTAATGCAGTTGAAAGTTACACAAATTAGTGCTAATTACAAATATATAGAAAATAGAAAAATTATAAACGAGTTTGCAGTCAACATAACATAACGCCAATAACGAGTTAACGAAAAAAAATTAATAATTGTAAAAAAAATATATATACTAATAAACCAATACGAAGCAATAATCATAAATATATAAAGGAGGAAATAACGGCAGTGACCAATAAATAGAGACGTACGAAATTTTAAGGTTAAAAAAATATTAAAATTTATCACGAAATCCACTCAAATGCCAAATAATTATAAATCTGCGCATATATGTGCATGTATGTATTTAGTATTGAACTTTTTTTTCATAAGCAACACAACGTAGAACAGTGATTCATGCCTGTGCTCGAAATAGCCGATTAGGAGGAAAAGAAGATACACTAAAGAAATTCGCTGGCGCACTTATAATATGTACATAAAAATACAAAAGAAAATATTAAAAGAAAAATAAAACAAATAAATAAAAGTTGGGTATACTATATACATCCATACATACATACATACATACATATATGTGTATGTACATATGTATACATAGACCAGCGCGCATTCGCACGAAACTTTTAACGACTTTGAGTACGCCTTCATTAAAATATGTATGAATGTACAAGCATACATACATACAGAACTACATACATACATATATGCATATGAAAAATCGTGTGACATAGTCTAACATAAAGTTACTTATAACATAACTATATGTACTCGTATATAATTTAGATACCGCCGACCCACAAGTAACAAAACTTTTTCATACATACGTATGTATGTACATACAAACACACAGCTATATTTATTAGATGAAAAGTGCGAAATTCGTTACCAATTGTTATTAGCGCAAGAAAAAAAAATACAAAAGCAAAAAAAGTTGAAAAGTAAAGACAAAATAAGAAATTTTAGCAGCCAAACAAATCTACTAAACGGATAATCGACACAGAACTCACAACCCCACAAACAACGAACGGAAGATCCGTAGAGTATTCGAAAACGATCTGGTGGGCCACAGATAAAAAACAAAAACAACGACTAACGAAGCATTCAAATAAAACGGTGCAGCGCAGGAAGAAGGCGGCACTACAACTACTACTAGCAATAGATAGAATAGATACAAACGACGAACGCGCACTCTACATATGTACATACATACATATTTATACAACTATATGCATATGTATGTGTAAGATCGAGAATCGAGAACTGCGAACGGAACGAGTCAAAAATCTATTTTTATTTTTTCGTAATACCCGAAGTTGGGCGCACAAAAATTTCTAAACACCACGTTAATTAAATGCGAAAACAAATTGAGTGCAGAAATAAAATAAATCGAATCGAAAAAGCGTGCTTGAAAGTATTTAAATTTTAAGAAAAATTTATTTAAAAACAAACTGCAAAGTTTTTAAATATATACATATAAACGACGTATGTCTCTTCATTAGCAACAGCCTACTAAACTTAAAACAGCATTCAGACACAGAAAAAATAAAAATAAAGATACGTAATACCGCACAGCTCTCAGGCGTGTGGTCCCTTTATACCAATTAATAATAATTCAAAACAGCTAAAATATAAAGTTTAAAAATACACTTTCAGAACTATTGAGTTAGAAACCGATTATTCGTATTTCTTCCGGTGCGATTACGATCAAAACGAACGAAAGTAAGTAAAATGTCATCATATTAAAATAAATAAAAAGTAAAAGTTGTAAAGAAAAAATTTAAAATTTTAAAATATTAATGTTCTTTGTATAATTATACTTTATGCCACTTATTAAAAAACTTTTGAAGTAAAATGTTAATTTCAAAAATTAGAACAGTGAAAAAATTAAGAAAAAAAAAACTTTAATTAGCAAAAAATTTTGACATTTATTTTAAACAATAAAAAAATTACCAAAACAAATTAAAAACTCTTAAAAAAACTGTTAAAAAGTTAAAAAGATTTTGACGATCATGGAAGAAAGTTATAATGCGGGAGGCCCATTCAGTTTACGATAACAAAGATTCACACATTCCAATAAGAGGCACTGCTTTTGAAAAAGTAGGTAAACAATTTCGTATAGTTTTTACCTTCAAAAGACACATGTTCAAATTTCACAGCTGTCGAAATTTGAAAAGAAAACATTTATAACAAGTAAGGAAGGGCTAAGTTCGGATGTAACCGAACATTTTATACTCTCGCAAAGTCAAATGGTATGGTCGTTTTAGATTTCTTTGTGGATCTTGCCGCCTTGTTCTATGTTTGACCGATATTTTCGGTAAAAAGTCAACAATAGGCACCGGGGTCGACATATTCAGTACCTAGGGGCTTGAACAGTTGTGGTTCAATTTAGATAATTTTTGGTCACAAGGTGGCATACTTTAAACGTATTATTCACGCAAAGTTTTACGGCGATATAATCATTGTTGCTTGATTTGCATAGTGGAAAGTGAAAAAATTAGATGAAATTCAAAATAATGTTATATGAGAAATAGGCGTGGTTGTATTCCGATATCGCCCATTTTTGTACTATAACATAGAAATATGAGAAGAATATTACGTGAACTTGGTTCCTACAAAGTCATCTCATACCATCCCAAAGATAAAATTTAATGTCTCTGGCGTGTTTAGTGCTTGATTTATCGCGCTTTTAGTAGTTTTTAACAGTACCGTTATATAGGGAGTGGGCGTGGTTGTCACCCATTTTCACACTGTGGCTAGAGGGCTAAATATATTTGCTCCCAGTGAATTTGGTTACTATAGCTTTAGCGGTTTAGGAGATATGCACATTAAACCTATTAGGGGGCGGGACCACGCCCACTTAAAAAATTTTTAACTGCAGATGCCCCTCCCTAATGTGATCCTGTGTACCAAATAACAGTCTTGTATCTTGTTGTGGAGCTTAGTTATGGCAATTTATTTGTTTTTGATTACTGAAGTTACAGCTTGCACAGACAAACGGACAGACGGACGGACGGACAGACAGTCACCCGGATTTCAATTCGTCTCTTCATCATGATCACTTATCTATATATAACCCTATATCTAACTCGATTAGTTTTAGGTGTTACAAACAACAGTTAGGTGAACAAAACTATTATACTTTGTAGCAACAAGTTGCGAGAGTATAAAAATAATTTTTATGATACCCAAACATACCACTTTCGGAGAAATGATGGGCTGTGAGCCAGGAAAATCAATCTTTCATAAATGCTTTGATACATTTTGTACAAGTCATATAAACACCAAAAGAAGGTCCACTGAAATTAATCGAAATAGCTGAGACTCTAAAGATATCAAACAAATGGGTCGGATATTCCGATCATGAAAATTTTTTTATGTGAAAGCTTTGTGCAAAGTCAGCGCCGTGTCAGTTGACAATGGAGGTAATTCACTCTATCACAAATCAATCAAAACTTTATATCGCGGGATGGCAACTATGTTGAATAATAAAATAGCGTGGTGTAAATTTGATAAACGTGTTTTACGACTTACGTTTTTTTGATTTACTTATTATTGTTGTAACGATCTTTAGATTATATAAGTATATTTCCACATAAAACAATTCAATTCCTGTTTCTTTAAATTTAAACAAAAGTTTTATTATTTTTATTTTCCAATGCCAATTTTTCCCAACTATGATTTTTTATACTATTGAGCTCAAAAAGTTTGCAATAAGATAAAACTTGATAGGTACAATTTATACTAAGCTAATAATTCGATATCACTCGAAAAATTCTTTGATAGATATTATTGGATTTTTGATCAAGCTACGTCGAAAATGTTGAAAAGGCAGTTTAATATTTAAACCTCGAGTTGAAAGTAACATATCGAACCTCAAACTTTTACCTTTTATAGCGAAAAATCAGAAATGTAATGTTAATTACTCGTACCACATTTATATTGAAAGCCAATATTTACATCAAAAAAATTTGTATTTTTAAAATTTTAAAATGAATGAGTTTTTACTACGACATATTTGCCATTAATTTAAAAATATTAAAAGCAATAAGTGGCACGATAATTATGCAAAACACTTTACAGAGTACAAAAAACAAAATAACTAAAATAAACTATGTGAGTAAATAAAAGAAATACTTATTAACTCCTAAAAACACAGACAAGTAGCTGATAGTAACAAAAAATGCGTTTAACGACATTTGATCTATTAATAAATATGTTCCAATAGATAAAGAAAAAAGAAACAACTCTTATTTAAAGGGTTAGTCAGAGGTGACACTTGGTTTAAAATAAGTCAATAAATTGCATATTTTGCAGTATTTTTGTTTAAGCCTCATTGACAGCTATTTCAGCCAGTTAACGTCACAAAACACAATTTTTCTTTGCTCGTTTTTCATTATACCAAATTTTTTGTTTACATACATATACATTCGTTTGAATTTAGCTTATCTGTCAAAGAATTTGTCAGTTGATGCTTTAACGTACTGATGGTTGCATATAACCTAAAATATTTCGCAATTTCTGCAGAACGACATATTATACCATACTTTGTGTAAGTTGAAATCACACTCACAGCAATATTTTATGTAAGAGCAAATGCACACTCGCTTGTTTATGTTTTTTTTTTTTAGAGATCATTCTTTCCATTATTAATTCTAACCGCCTACTTCACATTCCCCACTCGTTGACTCAACAGTCTAGCTCTCTACGAGCAATTAGTGTAACGAATGCGAATTTATTATTTACTTATTAAGCATTAGATATTATCTTTAAATATGTGCAAAAAAATAGTAATTACGGTGTAAACAAATACGAATAGTTACATATGAGAATTGCGAAAGGTGTTTCATCACAAATATACATACATACATACATACACGTGGTAAAGGAAAATTGAGAAACGTTAAAGACAAACGAGTTTTATATGAAAATATGTAATTTATTTAGCATTTCTTTTTTGTAATTTTTCACGCTTTTCTTACCAACATTGCTGTTGTTGTGTGAATGTTAACGTGAATTGCTATAGTTTTCTTTATAAAGTTAGTCATAAAATAAAATAAAAAATTAAAAAGTTATAATTAATACGCGAAAATAAGGCAAACAAATTTATTATAATTTTATTTGTTTTAGTGTGGTGTTCTTTTTTTTAATAATACGCCAAAATAAAATAAAAGCTCTTATAATTTTCGACTAATTATATATTTATATGCAAAACGACGCATTTTTTTAGCTAAAACGATCTGCGAATTATTAATCCAGTAATAAAAAGCAGCAAAAATTCTGAACATATACGCCAACGATCGACAAAATCGGAGTAAGGAAGAATTTGATAAGACAGTCAATTTAAAATAAAAGTGAGTACCAACAATCTATTTCAATTCAGTTAAATATCTATGTGTGTACATACTCGTATATGTATATTTATGGAATTATGAACGCACACTTCCTTCCATCTGCGCTCATAATTAAATTCTTCATTTAAATAAGTATATGTATATTTTTTTTGTATTCCATTAACTACCACCGGCTCTTTTTTCTCAAAATTTACATGTACTAAGCATTTTTTAAGCGGAAGTATACATACCAAGTTTAGTTTGTATATATAATAATATTTCAAGTAAACTACGTCGCGGTGACAAATATGGTTCGGCGCGGCGTATGAGTTACAAGTATAAATAGTGCCGTCATGTCTGCATTTTCGATTTATGTTTTATGATTGCTTAGCTATAAGCAATGGAAGCATGTAAGGTTTACTCCAGCATCATAGAATAACAATTTTAAGTGTAAAAGTGCACGAGTTCTTACATATATTCATTGAATTATATACCACTATTGTCCAATATCTTCATTAAATTAAATAACTTTAAATTTTGCGACAGATTTTTGAACAAATGTTCAACAAACAAATTTTGGAAAAAATCTAAATAAATTACATAGACTGAGTTGTTTTAATTTCGACTGAATTATGCATAAAAAATTTAGTTCTAAATAAATTTGGCAATATATTAAAACGTGTCTTTTAATTGTATTTTTACTCATATGAGTCTCCCTGTAACATACGAGTATAACGTTGACAGTTTAAAATCAAAACACAATTTGTTAGTTGCAAATTAAAATTTGTGCATAGGTTAACCAAAAGAGCTAAATATTACTTCAATGAAGTTAGGTTAGGTTAAAAGGTTGATACAAAAATACGGATCCCCTTTGTTATGACCGGGTTATAGCATCTGATTAAATGCAAAACAGAAAGTATTGAGTGTGAAAGTGCTCAACAGTCATTCAAAAATATATACTAATTTCATTAAATGAATCGTGTATTTGTGAAATTTCAATGTCCAAGAGTGGGAATGAGCACTTAACAATAGAATAGCAAACAATAGTCGAACTAGTTAATAATTCGAAAGCTTCCAAATGCAATAATTTCATAAAAGTTTCGATTAAAACTATAAAGTAAATACTGTTATATGATAATTATTCGATCAAAACTGATACACAAAATTTTGTTACTATAGATAAATATTAACTTAATGCATTATTCTATTAATACCTTATAATCACATTTATTTTATATTCCAGAATATCCACAGAAGAAAGTTATTTTTAGCCACTTTTATTAAACCAGCTCGAGTTGCCAGCTAATGCCGGTTTCTAACCCACATACTCATATGTGCACATACTTAGGTATACAGTCTCTTGACCGCAAATTTTACAAAAAAGAGAAAAAATCTAGCAAATTTTTTAAGATTTTAAGCATCGTAGGTAGGCAAAAGTAAATTATTAGACTTTGCTGATCTTACGTTCAATACGCTAGAGAAACTTGCACGCCCACATGTCATTCAAAAAGATAAGTACTATATATGTATGGTATATGAGTAGTGTGGATATACCATATTTATATGTAAGTGTTCACATTCATTTAAAGGGTGATTTTTTTCGCGAACAGTCGGATTGTGAAATGAAATATCAAGTGAAAGAAGTTTTCATTAAAAACCATCCTAATTGCGGAATGGAATAAAATTAATGATCTGTTTCCACGGTACGTAGAAAGCGATTAATATAAATCTCCAATGCATAATCCTGAACACCACCCACCTTTGGTTATTTGTGTAGGCGCGAGATCTCCACTTATTCTTGTACCTATTTAATCCATATACGCCCATAAATCTGGTATATCAGTGGCTTCCCAAAACTCTCAACTGATAAAACTCGGATTGGCTTGTATTGTTTCAAATGAGAATTGGAAATTAATTCTATTTGGTATTAAGTAAAACCTAGTTGTGCTTTATGTGGTTCTCTGACACAGATTTTATACTCAGATTCAAAATTAGTATATACATATGTATCTATAACAGAAACGCAGTACAAGATTTTGCATACTGCGTATTTGCGTAACTGGAGGATTCTCCGAGTTAAATTAGATGCTAGATTTGACCCATTGCTTAAGTCCTTAGTAAAATTGGGTATACAGACAATATTAAAGAAATTTTGTTTCAGGTAATTATTAAAAAATAATCTTCCTTTAACGTTTTTGTACTCTCGCAATTTGTTGCTACAGCGTATACAAATTTTGTTCACGTAACGGTTGTTTGTAATACCTAAAACTAATCGAGATAGAAATAGAGTAATGTGTATACTCGTATAAATGATCAGGAGGACGAAACGTGTTGAAATTCGTTTGACTGCCTGTCCATCCGTTCAAGTTGTAACTTGAGTAAAACTTAAGATATCTTGATGAAATTTGGTACACATGTTCCTGGAACCATAAGAAACTTATAAAATAATAACTAAGCCGTAAATTGAGATACAAAACTGTAATTTGGCACACCGAATCGCAGTAGGAAGGATATCTGTGGTTTGGAAATTTTTAAAAAGCGGGCTGGATCCCTCTTCCTAATAAAGCTAAATATATCAACTAAGTCTTCTCAGTAAAAGAGGCCTCACAGGTGTTTCGGTGTTCTTATGCTATAGTACGAAATCGAACTACAACCAGGCCTACTTTCCATATACAACATTTGTAAATTCCATTTGATTCTTCATTTTAGAGCATATAAATCGAGAGTCAATGACGTGTTCGAAATAAAACTTTGCACAAATAGTGCCTTTAGACCATAACTTTTAAAGCCTCTAGATACCGAATATGTGGGTCCAGTGTCTATGGCTGACTTTTTACAGAAAATACCGGTGAATCCAGAGGTCTAGTATTTAAATTCGGGAAGAATATTTTTCTGATAACAGTGTGCCCATGTGTCAAAATAATATCGAACAATATAATGAATATGAGGTTTCTACATGAAACTATATAGCATCTTTTTTAGTAATAATATGTCGTAATGGATAAAATCGGGCCAATACTACCACTATAAGAACTTTAAACTCCCTGTTGGTTTTATACCGTCTTATTATTATTAGCAAAATTAAGTGACGTATAGCACCGGTTTCTGTTTTCGTGCTCAAATTCGGATTCTAGACATTAAAAAACACTGGAATGTTTATTTTCAGCTCTTAAAGTTTGCTTTTGCCTGATATGAAAGGGCGTGACTTGCCCATACGAGCATAAAAGAAATACGAATAAAATTACTACAAAAGCAAACTTTACTAAAAAAAGAATCAAACCCCAAATTACGAAAATATGTGAAATTGGTCTACCAATTAACCCAGTTATACTATTGGCAGAGATAAAGAGATGCCCAACTCATCTCTCACTGGAATCGACGTCAAAACCTCCGGAACTCAGGCAACTGTCAAAGTTCAGGAGGTCTGACGTTTAGCAATTGGCAAAATAGGGACGGCCGGATTGAAAACCTACAGAAAAATATGTGAACAGAGAGATTTGTTGCTGCTGTTGAAGATCACTAACAAAAATTGGAAAACAATGAAAGTGAAAGAAAACGCGAAATTGAAATGTATGAGATGAAATCTTTTGTAATGCTTTGTTGTATTAATTTTCGATTCAAAATTATATAAATCATTTATTAATTGAGAGTTAATACATATATTTTTTTGATTAAATATTACTTGTAAAAGTTCAAAAATCAATTGTTTTAATATATTACAAAATAACAAAAAAGGGTTTAAATAGTTGCTGCATATGTTTAAAGGATACATGTATAATAATATTTAATCTTAATAAATGTTGGGTATTTTAATTTAAATTCCCAAAAAGTATTATTGTGTCCGATCTGGCTACAATGGAAAATGTTATAGAAAACGCCAATTTTGAGACGCTCTCACACTGGAAAGAGTTGGGCATCCCATTATCCCTGCTATTGGTTCGTTAACAACTTCACACTTAACCGCTTTGTCGTTATATATTTGAAAAGCTGATATAATAAGACTTGGGGTGCATTCGAGATGGCAATCACGACAGCAGTGTTGTTAATTTGTCAAAGTATCATGTTCTGCGTGAATTTTTGGCAACAGTTGCAACAGCATCACGTTCTACTGTCACTTTCTGCTCACAATTTATCTCTACCTCAAATCAGGACGTCGAAAAACACTTGAACCAGTTTTTTATCTGCAAGGATAATAAATTTTATGAGCGTGAAAGCAATATCTTGCCCGAAAGATGGCTAAAGGTATTGGATGGAGAATGTAGAATTTCATAAAATTTACACAATAAAAAAATCGTGTTGCACTAAAAAAAACAAAATTACTTAATGAACGACCCACTATTCATAAAATTACTTAAAACCATATTCTCTAGTATTTTTGAGAAATAATAAATGTTAATGCAATCAGTTCAGATTTTCTCCTAGCTCCAATATACCCAACATATTGATTTTAACTTTAAATCTGATTTTAAACCGTTTGCAGCGCTAAATTGGTCTAAACTTTGGTCTTAAACCCATATCCTTAATATAATTACTTTATTTGGTTAACTTTCAATTCATGTACCCAATATATAAAATTTAGGCTCTTTGGTTTCATATAAAATTTTAAGGGTTTCATCACTAAACAATACTTCCAACATTTCAATTATACAAATTATTTATTTATCCGGAATAAAAAACAAGAAAAAAACGTTGACTTTAGCTACACCAAAGCTTAATAAATTTCACAAATACAAAAAATGTCATATAAGAACTTGATTTTAATCGACCAGTTTGTTTGCCACTCGTATATAGACAATAATCCATGCCAAATTTCGTGAAGATATCTCATGAAATGAAAAAGTTTTCCATACAAGGGCTGGATTATGATCGATCAGTATGTATGGCAGCTATATCCTACAGTAGTTCGATTTAAACGATTTCTTCAGAGCTTGTAGATCTGCCTTGGACAATAATTTCTGGCAAATTGCGGGAAGACATTTTGATTGATGATTGATTTTGACCGTTCAGTTTGTATGGGAACTAAATGCTATTGTGGTCCGATATCAGCGGTTCGGAGCAGCTTTTTGGTGATTGAAGACGTATGCAAAATTTCAGGTCGATATAGCTGAGGGACTAGTTCGCGTCTATACAGACAGACGGACATGGCTTAGTGAGGTCAACTCGTCATACAAATCATTTATATTTCCATACATAAAGCAAAACTACTAATCCTACTTAAATCACTTGTTTCTTGTTACCTTGCAAAAAATTTGTTCATTTTGACAGTTGTGACTGCATTTTAAATTGAAAATCGTTAAAATATGCATGAGTAAAAGTCCAAAGAAGCTGAGGTCTTACTTATATGGAATAAGCTTTAGAATTAACGCCATACACAAATAACTAGTTATATAAAGGTATAAATATGATTGCTCCGGGTTAAGTTATTTGTTTATTTTGTCATATATAATAATAGAAGAAGTTTTCTTCACTTCAAGTTTCAATAATCTTAATAATAGGTACATATATGTACTATACTTGTGTATGTGCGTAAACCTTAAGTCGTGGTTGCAAAAAGAATATAGTTATACATAACCTGTCCGTTGGGTGTCACAAAAAATATCTACATATGCGCCAGTGTTCGTATATGTGCAATATCCATTTTAGTTCTATGGACATACAACAAAACATACATACTCATAAATTGAGAGATTACTACTGCAGGTATATCTCTGTTTATTAGTCACTTACTGCCTAGAGCTTCCAAGCTTTACATAAGTTTCAACACTCGTTATTTCATTAATGATATTTATCTTAGTAGGATTTGGATTATATAAGAACGGGTATTTGTCCATATCTATAACCGCATAAAAGTGCATCAGCATGCATATACTATAATAAAAAAATATGATGACTAAATTTTAGTTTTAGAATTGAATTTCGATAAAATGAATAATGTTGATTTTCTACGAATAATATATCTTATATATGTATATAACCGGAAATTATACAAAACGCAATTGAAATGAATGACTATGGCTAGAATTGTGTATGACAGTTCATTAGCTGGGGTATTTAGTTATCTGTTTTCTTAAATAATTGCACTAAGAATTAAAAACCATTAAAATATTTCTTACATCTTAATCCCTCTAGAATGCTAGTGCTAATTTAGTTTAATAAATGGGGGAAATGCTGTCAAGTACGAAAATTTGTTTGCATTTAATTAACAAAATAAGAAGAACCGTTAATTTCAGCTGCCCCGAAGCTTTAACACAGGGACATTTCTTAAACGGGCCAACGGTATGCATCTAACCGAAAACGTTTTACTACAATAGTTCCTTCTAGTCACATTGTGTGATTATAAACAACATTCAAGTCGAAATAAGGTTAATAAAGAAAAACGGTCTTTTATGAAGGTCTTTATCTTGATTTTGCTCCTTCAGTTTGTATGGCAAAGCTGCCTTAGATGCTATAGTGGTCCAATCTGAACAATATATTGGCAGATTATAGCATTGATTTGGCATCTATGCCAAATTTCGTAAAGATATCTAGTCAAATAAACTAGTTTTCTTTACAAGAACTTGATTTTGATTGATCAATTTGTATGGAAGCTGTATTCTATACAGACGGGACATAGTTAAGTTGACTCAGCTCGTCACACTGATTTATATATTTACTTTGGGGTCAAACTTAATATACCCTGTTCCAGACTATAAAATACTTGAAAACGTTAAGATAAAAGTTTCCCTCTCTTCAATAACGTTGCGCATTCCAGATGGAACCGCCGAAGAAATTATGTCTCATAACCACTGTTTTTATACTTTCGCAACATGTTGCTACAGAGTATAATAGTTTTGTTCACCTAACGGTTGTTTGAATCATCTAAAACTAATAGAGTTAGATATAGGGTTATATAGACTTAACTTGAGTAAAAATTGAGATATAACTTTATGAAATTTGGTATACATGTTTTTTGGTACCGTAAGACGGTTGGTATTTCAGATGGGCTTAATCGGACCACTTCCACGCCCACAATATGCTATTAATCAAAAACAAATAAATTGCCATAACTAAGCTCCACAATAAGATACAAGACTATTATTTGGTATACAGAATCACATTAGGGAGGGACATCTACAGTTTAAATATTTTTTTAAAGTGGGCGTGGTCCCGCCCCCTAATAGGTTTAACAGATGAATTCGTCATTATATTCAAAATTATTCTTTGTTCGATAGTCCAAACGTATCAAACTTCATCTGATTTTAAAATTTCATGCTATAGAGGTGTGTGTGAGGCTATAGACTGTGCGAAGATTTTATTCACATTTTTCTGAAATCGAAAATATTAGAAATAGTAATTGCGACAGTAGCGCTTCGTTACAATTTCGAGTTGAGTTTGACTAAAAAAAAGGTCAAGTTTTGACCTCATGAAAGAAATAGTTGTATGGTACCATGCTACCTCTTCAAATTCCTCTGCTTATGGCGTTGTGTGGCAACATCTTTATAGTATATTTCTTTTATATAAAACTACATTTATTATTATTTACGTCAAATTATATTTTTCAACCCCAAAATTTTTTCTAAATACATATATACTTATTAATTTTAATATCTCCTTTTTGCAGACGACAGAGGGAGAATTCTTCATATACTTGCGCCGCATAAAGCTATTAAGCATTCAGCAATATACTATGTATATAACAGCATAAATATATTCAAATTGTATTTAGATTTGTAATGCAAATTACTTTGTGATATTTAAAAACAAACAAAAAACACTCATTTTAATTGAACTGAAGCTTCAACATTAAAAAGTTATATTTTGAAAATTGAAAGTTGAAACAACAAAAAACCAAAGATTTTTATAATTTCACAAAAAAGTGTTGTAAGTTGTAAACAATTAGCAAACTATTAGACACGTGATCAAAGTTGTCAGTTACAAATAAAACATTGAAATGGCTGAACATGTGGAACAATCGCAACAAGCGGCACATCAACTCAACAATCAACAAAATGACGCGCGTAAATTACGCAAATCACCGGAATTTCAACCGATGCCCAATCTCACACCTGGCGCCATACTCAGAGAACGCAGTTTTGTGCGCACCTCTAATCAACAGGTAGGCAAATGAAATTAATTTCATATAAATTGATTTTGAATGGAAATCACATTCCTTCGAGATATGTATATGGTACATATGTAATAAAAATGTGTGTTTGCTTCACTTTCGGAAATTAGTGTAATTAGTGCATTTTGTGTATTTAAGTTTTTATAGAGAACATTTGATCGACTCTCACTGCAGAACTTTCCGAATAAATGTTTATATTAAGTTAGGTTATACTGGCCGGCTGTCACGCCATACATAGACCTACTGGCCTTTAGTAATGCCAGATGGGGTTTCAATTTAATTTGAGGTGAATGAGGTGTTCCAGCTACTCTCTCGTGCTGACTTCCCTAAATTTTTTTCATGTGTCGTCGTTACTTAACATATGCCCATCCTGCTCACATTTGATGCCAGTAGGTTGTGACCTGTCATTAGGTTAACAACCGTCCTGCAGTCCTTTTGAGACCGTGTGAGTACCATCAATCGATCCAAGTAAAACTGTTTTATATAAATAAGGTGATATACTCAGATCTTGTTCTAAACATTAAATTTTCTAGTCCAAAACTTAGAGTATGAGCGAATGAAGCGCCTTATACTGCTGTGCTAAGTTAGCCAACTAAAAATTAAGTAGTTTATTGGATCTATAAAACATACTGAAAACGAGCGGCTTTATCTCTGAAAGTACGTTAGATGAAGGCTAGTGTTCTGCAATATTTTTCAAGTAGCTAATGGCGAGCAATCACGAGTATATGCGCGGTGAATACACCAATTTTATTTGATATTTACTATACATTTTGCTTGAAAAACTTCAATATTAAATGGTCTTAGAATGCTTCTATTGACGAAAATCAGAACCGATTTTGTTTCAAACATACATAAAAATAACAAATTAACGACGAAATTCAATACAATTAGGTTTTAAAAAGAGTAAGATATCTAATATATTTTTAACAAGAAAAAACTTTAACTTCGGACCGATGCTATTATACCCTTCACAGAACTTTATTCCGATCGTTCAATTTGTAAGGGAGCTATACGATATGCTGATCTGATCTGAACAATTTCTTCGGATATTACAACTACAAGTACTTGATTCCGATTGTTCAGTTTGTATGACAGCTATATGCTATAGTGGTCCGACAAACGAGCAGATTCTTAGTGAGAAAAGGACAAGTGAAAAATTTCAGATCGATATCTCAAAAACTGTGAGACTAGTTCGCGTATATACACACAGACGGACATGGCTAAATCAAGTCAGCTCATCATGCTGGTCATTTATGTATATTTTCTTATAGCTTTCTTTTTGGTGTTACAAACTTCGTGGCATACTTAATATACCCTGTTCAGGGTATAAAAATGCACCTGTGAAGCTTATTATATTTTCGGTGCAGCCGAAGTTAACGTTTTTTCTTGGTATATAATTATTTTACTACTTCATATAATATGTATATACAATACATATTTATATTATTTACAATTGAAAATTATGCACCGTTAAGTGTACAATCGAACAAAAGTTTAAGTTTTTTAAATATAATACAATCTGATACTAAGAACATTCAAATTATTTACTCGAAAATTTCCTTTACAGAATATCAACAAAAGGCGCAGTCTCGCTTTCAATGTACAAACGGGTGCAAATCAACACGGGCAAATGCGTGGAAAACCTGCTATAGACATCTATAGACCACCGAGTAAGTGTGAAACTTTAATATGTTTAACAAGCTTATACTAAAAGTGTTATTTAGAAATAACCAAATATAATAATAATGCCAATAAAAATTAAGTTTCAGTACTTTAGAGCTAAAATATGCCTCCCTTTGTATAAGTTTCTTTTTTTAAGTCCTTGATGAGGCTGTAGAAATTTTCAAATTTAAAAAGGAAGGAAGCTTAAAACGAAAATAGATTTTATACATTTTAGAGGTTAGCTACAAACTTTTTATTTCAATAACAATATATTTCTTTGTTTTTACGCTAGTTTTGATTTAAATTGATATGTTGGGTTTTTAATATGCTTATGCAAAAACTTCTTTCATATTAAAAAATGTTGCAAAAATATTCAAAATGCATTTTTCGACGAAATCGTGAATGAATCACGATCAAACTTGGTATTTTTTTTTTTAATTATATTATAGGTCATAGACTCAATTAGTTTTATAACTATATTTTACTTGCCGTCAACGGAAATCATATTAAAATCTGACATATTTGTAAACTTAACCGAAGAGGCTAAATTTAATATATTGAGTTGATGAGCAAACGTCAACCAAAAGATCACAATAGATGATATTAGCGATATGAGATTAAGAGCAAGGTCTAGACCAACTTGTTAGAATAACGAAAATTATTATTGTATATGTAGTATAATATGTTATATTATCACATATGTAGGCATTAAACTAAAGTACCAGGTATGAAGTGAGCGTTAAGATACAAATGTGTGGGTAGAAAACATTTGTTGTGAACAAGCCTTAATTAAAAACATATCCAATAACCTTGCAGTCATTGAACAAACAACGTCTAATTTTTTCATTGTGTTGAAGATGTCAAATTTTGTACCGGAAAGTGATGATTTGTGGAAAGCAATAATTTTTTGTTTCCATTTGAAGAAATGTGCTGCAGAGTCGCATTGAATGCTTGTCGAGGCATATGGTGATCATGTTATTGTATATCAGAAGCAACATGCAAAATATGATTTCAACGGTTCAAAAATAATGATTTTGATGTGATAAATGAAGAACGTGGAAGACCAAAAGTTTGAAGGCGCCGAACTTCAAGCAATATTGGATGAAGATGATAATTTGAGTCAACAGCAAATGACAGCCATGTTAAATGTTGTACAACAAACAATTTCATACCGTTTGAAAGCTATGGGAGCCACATAAATTGAATGAAAGACAAATGGAAAACCGAGAAAATACTTATAAAATTTTGCTTAAAAGACACGAAAGAAAATCAGTTTTGCATCGAATTGTCACTGGCGATGAAAAGTGAATCCTAAATGGAGAAAATCCACCAACCATTAACATCGACTGCAAAAACAGATTGATTCGGTAAGAAGGCAATGCTCTATGATTTGTCTGATCAGAAGGGTGTGGTATATCATAAGCTTCTAAAACCTGGTGAAACTGTTAATAGTAATCGCTAAAAATCAATTTGAACCATCGAAAAACGACCAGAATGGGCAAGAAGACACGGCAAAGTATTTGTTTTACACGACAACGCACCTGCACACAAAGCAAAATCGGTTCAGGATACAATCAAAGTACATGGCTGGGTGTTACTCCACCCGCCGTATTCACCAGACTTGGCAATTTCCCATTACCATTTGTTTTCATCGATGGGACACGCATTAGCTGAGCAGAACTTTGATTCCTACGCAGAAGAATTGGGTGTCTAATTGGTTTGCTTCTAAAGACGAATATTTCCATTGGCATGTTATCCACAAATTTCCAGATAGGTGGTCAAAATGTGTAAAAAGCAATGGTCAATACTTTGAATACATTTTTTTTCTTTCCCATTCAAAATTAGTATTTCATTTTCACAAAAAAGCTATCATTTCATATCGGTACACTGGTATATGCAATATTATACGCTCAGTTAAATTTGCTATGATATCTTACATATTGACCGATATATACGGTATAAGGCTTCCGTATATACGGTATATTGGCCTTAAATTGTTGAAAATCTTTTGGTACATGCGACCCTAGGTGTAGTATTGACCCGATTTTTTCTATTTTTGGCATTACTATATATTATTATTTAACAGAAACAGATTTGCTCTGAGTTTCAAAACGCTAACAATATATGAGGAGTAAAGTCAATCGGATGTTTGAAAATCCTGATATTAGTTACATGGGTGTAGTTTTCACCCCATTTTATCCATTTTAGGCACAAAGATTCATCGGAGAAAAACACGCTCACTCAAATTAATAAAGATAACTCACATATTGGCCGATATATGGTGTTTATAGTCAACCGGAAGTTCGAAAATCTTCCTATTAGGTATATAGGGGTTAAGGGAAATATTAACCCGATTTAACACAATCAGACATATTATTATCATAGGCTACAACTGCCAACAAAACAAGCCAACTTTGAAATTACAGGAATGGGCGGAAGAGTAGTTCAAAACTCAAATAAAATCTGCCCCATTACCTTAATTTCCCCCCAAGCGGATAAGCACATTTCCCCCCAAGCAGAAGCTATAGTCTTACCGCAACTTACAAATATGCTTCCAAGCTATCACATAAATAGCAAGCATTGGCAAAAGGTTTCACACCTAAAGCTAGCAGATCCCAACTGCAACACTCCCGCTCAAATAGACCTTCTATTAGGCAGCGATCTCATACCCCAGATAATACTCGAAGGTATTGAGAAAATTTCAAATACACTTCTGGCACAAAACACTATTTTTGGGTGGATCCTAAGTGGACTAGTTTCGGAACCAGTTACCACCATGACCACTCAGGTTGAGGAAATCTCAAACGAATACCTCAATTCACAATTGAAAAAATTTTGGGAGTTAGAAGAACTCCCCCCCATATCAATCACAACCCCTGAAGATCAGTATTGTGAAGACTTTTACAAAGCCACAACTACTAGATCAGATAATGGTCGGTACGTCGTACGACTACCACTAAAACAACAATTTCCTAACACACTCGCCTTAGGTCACTCTCGCACCTCTGCTATACAGCAGTTTTTAAGTATGGAAAAAAACTTACTTAAAAAAGGTGAGCTTAAGCCAGAATACGATGGCGTGTTAGAAGAATACCTCCATTTAGACCACATGGAGGAAGTAAGCCCATGCGAAAAAATCATAAATGGCAAATATTACTCATTTTACTTGCCTCATCACGCAGTAGTAAAGCCAGACAAAAAAACAACTAAAGTAAGAGTTGTCTTTAATGCATCAAGATCCACCAGCTCGGGGAATTCCCTAAATGATATCCTATTTACGGGACCCACGCTCCAACCAGATTTAATGCTACTAATTTTAAATTGGCGTATATTCAAATACGTTTTTAACGGAGACGTCGAAAAAATGTATAGACAAATAGTCGTACATAAAGACGATCAAGATTTTCAGCGAATTATTTTCCGAAAATCTCCCAATAGTCCACTCCGCGACTATAAATTGAAAACAGTTACCTTTGGCGTCAACTGTGCCCCATATTTAGCCATTCGAACACTGCACGAATTGGCAGAAAACACCAAGTCGGAGTTTCCTCTGGCAACCCAGGTGTTAAAAACACAAACGTATGTAGACGATATCTTGTCTGGAAGTCACAGTCTTCCACAAGCATACGAGTCACTATCACAAGTGATACAAGCCCTAAATACCGCAGGGTTTCCGTTGAAAAAGATAACGGCGAACCACCCTAATATTCTAAAAAATATACCACATGAAAATTTGTTAGATACTAATTTCCTTAAATTCGAAAAGGAAAGTACAACAAAAACTCTGGGGATCCAATGGAATGCGATATCTGACCAGTTTTCATACACTACAGAGTCAATATCTGCATTATCTGCCATAACAAAGCGGCAAATTCTATCCTCTGTGGCGAAACTTTTCGACCCCGCAGGATGGCTTTCGCCAGTTATGATACAAGCCAAAATTCTAATACAAGAATTATGGTTAGATGGTACCGACTGGGACGAACAAGTAAAACCACTGCGTTTAGAAAAGTGGTCCCAGTTTGCGAGCAATCTACATGATATCTCACAGATACAAATCCCACGATGGGTAAATTATGCCCCAGAGCACAAAGTCGAACTACACGGCTTCTGTGACGCTTCTGAAAAGGCATATTGCGCAACTATATATGTTCGCACACAAAGCGACAATGCGACCACATGCCACTTACTAGTAGCAAAAGCAAAAGTGGCTCCTTTAAAAACAATAAGTCTACCACGACTTGAATTATGTGGAGCGCTACTACTGGCCAAACTCGTGTCCATCGTACAAACGCAATTAAACATGGCACAATATAAATTATATCTATGGTCCGATTCCGAAATTGTACTAGCCTGGTTAGAAAAACCACCACATGCATGGAAGACGTATATTTCAAACCGAACGTCTCAAATCCTTGACCAAGTAGGATCAGCCACTTGGCGACATGTAGCCAGTGCTGACAATCCTGCTGATCTAGGTACAAGAGGATGCAAACCCCTGCATCTTGCCACCACCACCCTCTGGTGGAATGGCCCCCGATGGTTAACAGAATCTCCTGATTCTTGGCCACAGTCGCCCACGCCCATACATAATATCGTTCGCAGTATAGTTGTCCTAGAAAGTCGAAATATCGACACCTATCTTACTATAGTGGCTCATAGTTGCCTCAATTTTCATAATTATAAATAATTCAAAAATCAAGTTAAGGGAGCACCATACTCCCAATGTGAAACAGTGACGCACCTAGATTTACAAAAAGCAAAGGTCGCACTTATCCCAAATATCTAAGCGCTCATCAAACGGGTAGTTTATGGGAAACACTTGTAAAAGTTGTAAACCTCACTTTAAAAAGTGGGCGAAAATCTTAAATCTCACTCTCGCAAGATCCCTCTTCAAAGGTTTCAAAGGAGCACCCATTCTGGCCATATCTGAGCCAGGCGTGGAGTCGCTAACCGTAATAAACCGATGGTAAAGAAGTTTTAAACAAACAAATCGAATAAATGCAAAACAACGTTGCTTGCTTAACGCACTAACTTCCAAATCAAAAAACATAATACCCATTTCAAAATCAAGATTCCATCCTACACGTACAGGTAAATTCAGATCTACCACACGATTTTAAATCATCGGCTTACGCACTATACGAAAACTGCTTAGACCAGTACGAAGCTACAAAATCTATGATCTCCGATCAACTAAAGCTAATAAAAGCAATTGCACCTACTCCACAATAGCGAGTAGAGCTGCCACAAGTTCAAAGTCAAGAGGCAAGTTCGGGCATCCATCTCGAGGTGCCCGCATGTGACACAGAAATATTTTATGGAGGTTATGAAGAATGGCCGTCCTTCCGGGACATGTTCACTGCCGTATACATCAACCATCCAAAATTATCAAAAGCGCAAAAATTGTATCACCTCCGATACAAAACTAAAGGTCAAGCAGGCGCAATAGTAAAACAGTTCGCACTAAATGACGACAATTTCAATTTGGCTTGGGAAGCTCTAAAAGCAAGATATGAAAATGAAAGAATATTGGTCGATAACCAAGTAACGACACTAATAAACTTGCCAAAAATTCAAAAAGAAACCAGTGAAGAGTTTATAAGACTACAATCCACTGTTTCAAACTGTTTGTCGGTTTTATCGACACAAAATATTCCCACAGACAGCTGGGACCCTATACTGGTAAACATATGCACCGCCGCATTACCAAAAAAATCTTTACTTTTATGGGAGCAATCGCTCTCATCACGAAAGAAATGCCCCACGTGGCAACAAATGAAAGACTTTCTTACTACCCAGTACGAAATCGCTGAAAGGGTAGACAAAAAGCTAATTAAAACAAAAAATGTACAACACGACCAAAAAAGAAGCTTCAATAGACCCCAAGCTAGTAGCAAAAATAAATTAAACAGAAGCTTTTACAAATCTCAATCGTTCACATCCGAACAAAATAATCATACGTCATGCGAACTATGCACGAGAGGGCATAAACTACAATCTTGCGAGAAATTCAAAAAATTAAATATTATAGAAAAAAACTATTTCGTGAGATCAAAAAAATTATGTACAAATTGCTTGTCACATGCGCATACATATAAAAATTGCAAAAGCAAATTCAATTGCCTATATTGTCACAAAAGACACCACTCAATGCTTCATTACAGCAAATTTCCCATATCACCTCAAAGAAGCGCTTATACAAAAAGAACCACAGGTAACAACAACTCCCAAAAACCGAAATCCCGAAGTGCTAAATCCCGAAAATTGCCAAGAAGCACCATGCTGCTCAAAGGCATTAAAAACCCAAACGCTACACAGCGAAAATCAAAGTAGAGTACTACTACCGACAGCAGTCGTCTCCATCGAACACCGAGGAGAACTGTTTAAACTTAGGGCCTTAATAGACCAAGGATCACAACGATCTTTCATAGCGTCTAGGGCTCAAAATAGGCTATCAACCACCTTTATTACCTCTCCACTGGTATGCGACCAGGAGTGCGTTAAATTAAAAATTTGTAATTATAATAATAAATAAAGTTTGTGAATCATTTTGAAACAAGGAAACATACGCTTCTCCTTTGCGGAGTAAAGTAGGTGGTGGTATTAACATATGAAAAACACGCTCACTCAAATTAATAAAGATAACTCACATATTGGCCGATATATAGTGTTTAAAGTCAACCGGAAGTTCGAAAATCTTCCTATTAGGTATATAGGAGTTAAGGGAAATATTAACCCGATTTAACACATTTTTGACAATCAGACATATTATTATCAGGAAAGGATTCTCTCCTAATATCAATAATATATCTCACACATTGACCGATATTTTCGGTAGAAATCAGCCATACCTTAAAGACAATATTCGTGGAAATTTTTATCACTAGATATTAATTGGTGCTTGATTTGTATACTGGAAAGTGAAAAATCAGATGGAATTTATAGTTGTGTTATATGGAAAGTAAGAGTTTTTTAGTCCGATTTTCGCAATGTAACATGAAAATAAGAATGTCAAAATAATCCCCTGTACCTAATTTGGTTGAAATTGGTTAAGTAGGTTCGGAGATATGTAATTTCTCATTTAGATATTGATATTGATTTATCGTATTTCAGTAGTTGTTAACAAAATCGTTATATGGAAGTAAACATATTAGGCGGTGGGGGCATGCCCACTTTATAAACATTTTCAAACCACAGGTGCCCCTCGTTATTGCCATTTGTCGTACCAATTTACAGTTTTGTATCCTAATTTACGGTTTAGTTATTGCAATTTATAGGTTTTCGATAACTACGTTCAATGGGCATGGCAGTGGTCCGATTACACCCATCTACGAACTCGACCTCCTATTTTTGCCGCTTGAAACATTTTAGCAATAATGAGTAGATAAAAAGTGCGACTACTACGGCTTGACGTTATCATGAAATTCATTGATCGTTGGTTGGCTAAATTTTAGTTGTTGTAGCTAAAGTTTTCTTCTATGAAATTCTTTTTATTCTAGGATATATTCATCAGCATTCTACGAACTACACATTTGACTCAGTATTTTCTCACTTTTTGTATTTATTGAGTCACCGAAAATGTATGCAACCTGGTTCAAAAAAATTTCTCTGAGTCTGATTAGGGCTTACTTTGGTCAAGCCAATATATTTTTAGATATTAATGTATGAAACAAAACGTGGTAGTTTGAAAAACCGAAGACCCCTAAAAACAGCCTTTTACTTTATTACATAATTTATTTCCTATGTATGTACTTGTATATGTGGATCTTGTACTATAGCTTTTTATGCTCATCCAACTTTATTATGCAACTCTAATGCTTTCTGTTTACGGCAGGCGTTTTCGTTTTTAAAAGCTTTGCTAACTTAAATGGTGTCTACTCCAATCGGCCTCAAATGCTTCAGCTGTTATATTGCATGTGCTCCACTTTTGGAAATAGACTTCAAAATTAAATTGCCGACACTTTCTTAATCGAAGCATTTTTTACTCTCTGTATTTTTCCGAAATTTTACACCATTTGTATACCGCACCCCACCCATCTACGAAAATCTGCAATCTGTGTATTTCACACTCGATTGTACAATTCGCCACAATGATCGAATGCAATTCGAAATGCGTTTGTGGAAAAAAACCTGACCTAAACACATGAAATACCCAGATGTTCGCAATGATGGCGCCTCTTCAGCGGCAGCCTTAAACAGGTTAAACATTAATGCACAGGAGTTCCAAATGGGTAGTACGAATGCCACGCGCACCACACCTCCACGTGGAGATGCAAATAGGGCTGGAGATAGTCGGTAAATACTGCCTGTCACAAGGCTTTGCTAATAGAATTTCGCTTTCGATTTTCCATTTACAGAACTTAACTTCAACCTACAACATTCTTCCAGTTCATCGGCGGTCATTTATCCAACGACAACTTCGCCTCAAGGTTTAGTACCACCATCGAAATCATCGGTGGCACTGCATCAACAAATGCAATATGTGGCAGCCACAAATGCGATGGCCAATCGTCGACAGGCGGGTCTCTCTCTAGGCAGTATGCCGATGACAACCAATCCAATCGGCAACAAAATGCATCATGTCGGCGCACATCGACCCATTTTGGTTACACATTCACATCCGTTGGCCGTTAATCGGTTTTCGGGTGGTGTGTCACAACAAATTCCACTAATTAACTCGCCATCCAGTGGCAATATATTACACGTATGTTGTACACGCTTTATCAGCTACTTCTTATATTATTATGAATTAAATACATTTCCAACTTTCACAGCAAACAGCGAATACGAATCGTGTGAAATTCGCCAATGAACCGCACAAGCATCACAGCCACAAGAATGGACAAAATCATCTTAGTCACGACTATCAACAGCAGCAACAACAATTGAATGCCATGTCACAATATGCCGTCGCCAATGGCATAAGCACCGATTCATATATAAATGTTAGTCCGCTACAGCGTTCGAAATCTTTGTCTTCCGCGGACGCATTGACACGTGGGATTGCTGGCCTTGGTTTGGCTTTGGGCAACGAGGTCACCGACATCGGTCAATTCAGCCCTGACATACAGGCATTGATCGACACAGCTTTGAACGACCCGAATAAATTGAACTCGCGCGCACTTATGGAACTGACGTCACACTTTATTAAACGTGCAGTTGAGGGTCGCCGCTATGCTTTGCCCATCTCACGTCTCTGCCTAAATATTATAGCTAAGGAACAGAAGGAGACTTTCTTGGAAGCCCTATTGAACACATGCCGACAGTGGTATCAGGAACGTGAAAAGGTAAATAAATTATATTATAATTAATATTGGATATACACGTCTCCGTATGGACTTTTTTATTCGACAAGTTGTATTCACAAAATGTGGTATAGATTATTATCTAAGGCAGCGCTACTATCTCCGAACAAATTGTTCAGATCGGACCACTATAGCATTTAGTTACCATTCAAGTGATCGATTAAAATAAAGATAAATCTCTTGTTATAGACTTGTATACTATAAAAACTACACCTGTTAATGATATTATAGCTTCTGTGCAACCGAAGTTAACGTTTTTTCTTAATTTTAATAAAAATATGTAAATATTTTTTTCTCTTTCAGTTACTATACTCCATACAAGGCATGAAATCACCTTCCCGTCTACGCTTTACTGCTTTCATGGCTTTTCTTACCGAAATGTTCTGTCAACTTAAGCGTCGCCAATTACAACTTCGTACTCAACGTGAAGGTGCACCGCCGCCACTGGTCCTACTGACGTTACTCTCCAAATGCTGCGAAGACTGTGTCAAGCCACCTGTGCGTTCGCTGTCCGAGGTGAGTGAACTTTATAATAATATGAAATTAACATATTTAACAGCTTTGATGACCACAAAGACTTCCCACTCCATCAGCCATTTTTGATCCGTCCGTGTAGTTGTTAAAAGTTCCGCTGGTGGGTCACGAACCAAGATAAAGCGTGAGGGTATGCGGTCCATTTATCCACCGAGCCACTGCTTATCGAGCTATGTTCTTCACCTAATGTCGCTCTTACAGCTTATTTCCCTGCCGAGCTTTCCACTGCAATGTCAATTGGTGGCAGGTCGAGTAACCTTTCTAATACAGCTGTTGTGGTTTTAGTGCTTTTCCGTTATACAGAGAGCAGCGATTCGCTGTATTCACTCCAAAGGTTTCCTATACGAGATTTTTTTGGCAGCGATCCACCACACCAAAACACCAAAAGCAAGTTTGGCTTGACTACCGCTGCAATACAGGTGTTAGGCCACATGTAGACCCTCTTCTTACATGTATAGACCACTGACCTTTTTCAACCTTTCTTCCGCATTGAATTTCCACATCTGTTTGCAGTCCAAAATAACTCCCAGGTATTTGGAATAATCCTTAGTAGTTAACTCCATGACTGGATCTTGTTGATGTTTGTTTTCGAGCGCAATTCATCACGCTACTAATTGTGTCTTGAAACTTGCCCGTCACTCGTATAGCATAGGCTATCAGTTTGGGTGCTCTTCCTTCAAATTTATTTTTTTTTTTTCTTTTTTTTTGCAGATCGAATGCCTTTTCTATGTTCTAACCTGTATCGGGCAAGATATGGAATTACAGCTGCCACAACAGTTGGAATTGCTATTGTCGCTGGTGCGTGATGCTTTCTTGAATGCAAGTGACGCGGCACCGGCCATTCGTCGCACCTTATTGCAATTAATTGAACTACAAGCGTCACACTGGCAATTGCCCGGAAACACTGTCTTATACTACTATCCATCGGCAAAGTAGTGAAAAGGCCAACACCACTCACAACACAAATCAACTCAACTACCACTTGAACCAGACTCAACTTTTGTTCGCACTCTTCTTGAAACTGAAAGTCCTCAGTGCGCCGGACCTGCGCAGCGGCTTCGTGTTCATGCAATCATTTCAATTTTTATTATGTACTCGTACACTGTATGTGGCACTTAACTGTTAGATTAATATTTATACATACATGCATACATATATAAGTATATGTAACTGCAGTTGTGCCTTTTATTATATTTATTTTATGATGAAATAAGATAGGAAAGTATATTTTTTTGTGAAAGCATTTACTGAAAATGATGCAAATTGTATTAAAACAAGCTAAGCGCTTGCGCTGACTTGCTGAAAGCTTCTAGAAAAGCCAACATTAGTAGTAAATATAGGCTGAAACTATGCACATACATACATACATACATATTAAACGTAATTTGGCAAACGTACTAACCCTAAAGATAGTCATAACACAGCCATTAAAACATGACAGCAATAAAATTTCATTGGAAAACAATTTATACATTTTTATTGTTTAGGAAAAAACGCAATATTTTTTAAATTTGTGTCAATAAGTCACACAAACATTATACAGCGGACCTATGGTATACATTATAATTTCTTAAGTGTTTTTCGTCTGTGCAATTTTATACATTTAACAAAAATCAATGGAATTTATTTATTTTGCATACTCGTATTCCTATAATTTAATGTAAAAGAAGCTCAAATTATTTATAAATAAAACATAATTGCACTGCACACTCGTATACAAACCTTACAAATATATTAGAAAAAAATGTCACTAAGGAAATAAGAATTAATGCACATGAAAAATGTTTAACAAATAAAAATTAAGAAAAAAAATAAACTTTAAATACTAGTCAGAGAACAAGAAACCAGCAGTTTTTTTCTTAAACAGACACTCCTAAGCAATTAACACTAGAGAATAACCAAATAACAGACCAGGAAAGCGTTTAAAACAGGTCTAATAAGTCTAATGAGCACTTGAAAAGGAACTTCAGTTATTAAAGGCAAAACCTAGTAAGGATATATTGAAGGTGAAATCTATCTACAAAACGCCGGTCAAAGTTCATGAAATACTTAATAGCTGATGGCATGGGTGTTGGGATCTATTGCGCGTAGCTAGACCTCAGGTGACCCTTCAACCTTACGACATATTGCGGTATCTTCTAAGCAGAAGCCTTTGCAGTCAGGAAAGCTGCTAAGATAGCTAATAACCAGTTCAAGAAATACGCAGGTCGCTTAAACGATACACAATAAAATTTAAGAAAAGGCTGACAGAGGAATCGGTGAGATGGTATGCCTTAAGGACATGCCAGATCATGTGTGAGAGACGGAAGGAAAACACGCATGCTTTCGTCTCACATGGTCTAGAAAAGACTGCAGGGCGGTTGTTGGCGTAGTCACAGGTCACAACTTACTGGCATCACATGCGAGCCGTATGGGCATTATTAACGATGACACATGTAGAAAGTGCAAGGAAATAGGTATGATAGAGACGCTTAAACATCTCCTCTGCTTCTGTCCGGCCTTACAATTGCATTACAAAGAACCTTTAGGTCGATGTGTGGCATGATAACCTAACCTAACTTAACCTATAAGCTGTATTCACATCACCAAATCTTAGAGATTAGATTTAACAAGCCACTGGTATAAATTACATAAAAACCGAGGTATACGAATTCTCTTGTTTTGAATTAATGCACATTTGGTTTTTGCCTACGCATATGTACATTTTTTTGACACGAGAGCAGAGCTGAAACAAAATGAGCAGATAATAGGCAAATCACAATTTAAGTAGTATTTGCGTCACGGCCTTTAAAGTGATCAAATTTGACCCGAACTCATCAAATACAAATCTTCGGCTGGGATTCTGCTGAATATTCATTGCCTTCAGCGATTTTTGGTGTTTTCGGTTTCGGCTACGCTGTCAAAGATCTTTTTTGTGACCGCTGCTCGATGTAGTTTTTGCAAACGATTCAAATCTATTACGAGTCTAGCATTGACACGCTTCAGACGCAAAATATTAGCCAAAATGTGTTAAGTTCATCCATAAGATTGGTTGAGATTCTCTGCTATTAAAATAATACTAAAGAACTGTGGGTAATGATGCGAATATTATGAATCGCAAGAATTTATTGTAATACTTTCGAGTCTATACCTTTTGAGTAAAATAATATTTTTGAAGCATTTTGCTTCTTTTCAGTCATCAGTAAATATATTTAGACATCGTAGATTGTGTTATTTTAATGAAATGAAGTTAATAATCGATTATATAGAAAATTATGGTAAGGAATCGATACCTTCTAAATATTTTATTTTGATTGTTAAGTTTGTAATACAGCTATTTGTGGTTCCTTCTTATTAGCGGTTCCTACAAATGTGCAACTTCTTGGAACGAAAGGATGCGTAGAAAACTTCAGATGGATATCTCAAAAACTCAGGAACTAGTTCGCGAAAATAGAGACAGATGGACGGATGGACGGACACACATACGGACATGGCTACCTCGTCACTGCATTTCCTTTTGGGTGTTACAAACTTCTTGGCAAACTTAAAAGGATCTTCCCATGTGATGGGCTCAAAAATTAAAATTTGTTCATTAGTTGCTTTTTTAACATGTCTAAAATACGGTAAAAAAGTTATTTTTGAAAATTCAAAGTCGTTTTAAAGATACAGCAGTTAGAATAAGAAGCTGTTCGGAGCTCTCAGTTGCAGACTTGAAACTTAAAACGCGTTTTTCTCAAAGCTATGTTTTTCAAATATGCATGAACTATTTTATAGCAAAAAAAAACGCAAACTTTTTTCAAATGTCTACCAAAAGCCCAATTTTTATTTAAAAGGGGCTAATTTTTTTATTTCAAATAAGCTTACCAGCCGGAGTCATGGAGGAAGTGCGAGCCAATTTATTTCGAGGCGAGGGTATTCAGAACGCTGTAACTTATGTTCTACACAATATTTTTAGCTTAAAATTTATATTTCTACTGCCAAAAAATATGTTAATAAATAATAATAAACTTAAAGCTCCATTTATTTACTGGTGGTAGAAAAAAATGCAATAAAATCCCAACAAAAGAGGCCGTCATATGGAATGACCCTCTTAATAAACCATGTTCAGGGTATAAAAATTACGGTTCATTCGTTAGATAATAATTTTTCCCAGGTAACGCCGAGAGAATTTTTTGAAATTGAATTTTTCATTTTATTTTTGAAACACTTTGGAGAAAGAAATACGATTTTTTGCGAAAAAAACATTTTGAGACAAATAAATTCCAAAAAAAAAATTTTAAAACCCTACTCCCCCCTTAACAACTATGGGCGTTCTTTGCTATAAGAAAAACTATTATTATGTGTATAAAAATACTACTGAATATAAATAAGTATACCTAAATAGTATGTATAAGCAAAATAATTAGGCAAAATAATTGTTCGCATATTTACTTTCCAGCGCCTATGTAAATCAATAGAGGCCAATTTTTTTAATTGGAATATTTGTAATTTGGAGCGGACATGCTTGCTTTCATTAACATTTTGTTATTATATTACAGGAAGAACACACCAAAACTGGTAAAACGGAGAGCCATATACGTAAATAACTATGCATAAGCGAAAGTAATATTTACAACAGTAAACTAAAATATACAATTTTATAAACATATAAAAAGCAATTCATAATAGTTTTGTGCTAATTTTGCACTCTTACCCGCAAAAAGTTGTGATAAATATAGCTAAGTACGAATATAATAAGCTTTGAAGTGGGAAATGCTTTGGGTGAGCCAGCCAACTAAGTTGAGGAAGTGTATCGATGGGGATGCAACCAAGCGTTTGGTGCCTGGCTGTTAATAGACATGCGATTGGTTTTCGGTATGTGCACATACACACTTACATATACATATACATGTATTTATAGCAACACAAACGCCAATGTTATATAAAATAGCGCTATATTGAAGAGCATTATGGTTTCGATAAGCGCTAAAATCGCTTTCAATATGACTTAACAAACGTTGAAATGCATAAGCACTTACAAAAATAACAGTATATTGCATATTATCGATGTTATACATGTGTATGCGAGAAAAGCGCAGGCGCATGCGCAACATAACAACTGGAAAACTATTGAAATTACAACGCGAACACAAAAAGTACGCAAATATCAAGTTTCATATGTGTGTAAAGGTGCATGTACATATAAGTGTGTAGGAGTATATGTGTGGATATACAATGTATGCGTAAATGCATCTGGCGATAAATCAAATACGGCGGACTAGAGCATTTGCCTTGCACTTGAGCTTAACGCCAACTATTTACATACATATACATATATATATGCATAAATACATATGTATGTATGTACTTCACATAAAAACTCTAGAAAGTTACGCTAGAGCGAAGTGCGTGTTTGGCGCGCTACACATTCATACATACACACATATATATATGTATATGTATATACCTTTTAGGTGTTGCAGGGAATTAATTGTTCTACTTTTATGCGGAATCGCAAAGCTGGCGCAATATCCAACGTTGGTTATAAATAACGAAATGATGTGCAACACGTCAAACAGTTTGTATATCGGCGGCAAAGCGTCAAGTACTTTGTCGTGTAAAGTGGATTATTTTTCGTAATACACATACATATGTATGTAACAGCCGCGAACCAACAACGCGCTCACTCACTTGGATAAAATAGTTGCATACGCGGCAAGCAACAACCGCAAGGATAATATGGACACGCAGAATCCGATTGTAATTACAACCGTTACTAAAATCATAACAGCGCTTTTAGCCCTACTCTCCTACTTTTCTCTTTTTCACCCCCACAGCATCAACACAGACAGCGTCGCCTTCGACCTCTGCTTTTGCTCTTTTTCCTTTGCTACTTCGCGAGCAGCCAAGCTAAAAGGACTACACGCCGCCTGCCACGCGATGAGATACACGAGTATGCGATACATCAGTACAACTATGCCGAACGCGATGTCGAGGAGCCGAGCGGCAGCGTAGCTGATTTGCAGGCGGATGAGTCGAGACGCGTTCAGACGCCATCACCGAAGAGCAGCAAGAAAAGTGGCACCACACGTGACAAGCGTGGCACTAAGAAAATTCGACACATCGTGCATTTGGTTAAAACGGCGCAGCAGAAGAGGAAAACGCCATTGACGACACCACGACACAATAACCAACAGTATCGCCAGCAAAATGCGGTTGATGGAGATACAAAACCATACCACACCTACGAAGAGTTGCATGAGCATGTTATGGAGCCAGTAGAAGAGCCGGAATCCGCACAAAAGCCTACCTATGTGTCTTCTTCAGCGCATGCGCACACATCCGGCTCTAAAACAAAAGTCCATACGCAAAAGGAACCGCCATCTTCAGAGGCATCTTCGGACAGCTACACTACGCATGCCTTTTTCAAGCCGCATTTGGTTAAAACGGCACAGCAGAAAAAGAAAACAACATTGACGACAACAAGAACCAATAACCGCCAGCAAAATGCATTTGAAGGTGATACAAAACTATACCACACCTACGAAGAGCTGCATGAGCATATTATGGAGCCAGCAGAAGATCAGCAGTCCGCGCCAAAGCCTACCTATGTGTCTTCGCCAGCGCAGGCACACAGGTTCGGGTCTAAAGCAAAAGCCCACGCACAAAATGAACCACTACAAGAGGCATCTTCGGATAGTTATGCTACGCATGCTTTTCTCAAACCACCAGAGGAACCTCACGATGAACCACACATGAGTAGCACGGAGCATCACGAACATGAAATTCACGAGGAAGAGGAGCATCATCATGTTGAGAAGATAAAGGTCAAGCATCATCATCACCATCATCATCATAATCATGTAAAGGAAATCATTAAAAAAGTACCCGAACCATATCCTGTCGAGAAGATTGTACATGTACCCGTAGAGAAGATAGTCGAAAAAGTGGTGCATGTACCCAAACCTTATCCGGTGGAAAAAATTATTGAGAAAAAAGTACCATATCCGGTTGAAAAGATTGTCGAAAAGTTCATTGAGAAGAAGGTACCATATCCGGTGGAAAAAATCGTCGAGAAAATTGTGCATGTGCCGATAGAAAAGATTGTGCATGTGCCGAAACCGTATCCTGTGGAGAAAATTGTCGAGAAGAAAATACCATATCCAGTGGAAAAAATAGTTGAAAAGGTTGTTGAGAAAAAAGTACCATATCCGGTTGAGAAAATTGTCGAGAAAGTGGTACATGTGCCCAAACCATATCCAGTCGAGAAAGTGGTTGAGAAAGTCGTAGAGAAGAAGATTCATGTACCTGTAGAAAAAATTGTCGAGAAAATTATACATATACCCAAGCCATTTCCGGTTGAAAAAATTGTAGAAAAGATAGTGCATATACCAAAACCATTCCCAGTAATTAAACACATACCATATCCAGTCGAAGTTAAAGTACCCGTGCACATAGAGAAGCCGGTGCCATATCCAGTGGAGAAGAAAGTACATGTACCTTATAGAGTCGAGGTGGAAAAGAAGGTGCCAGTCCCTTATAAAGTGGAAGTGGAAAAGAAGGTGCCCGTTTTTATACACGCACCACATGTGTCTAATGAACCCTACAAGTACGAACACTACGAGCACGAGCACGAACATCATGAGGAGAAGCAAGATTACGAAGAGCACAAACATTTTGAACATCATGACCTCTCTGGATATCCCACCAATCAAAATGCCAACTATGCTAAGTTACAACAACAGCAACCTAGGCAAATTACAAATGGCGCTAAAGCAGTGTTACCAAAAGCATATTCTCCCGCAGCGGCTGCAGCGATACGCGCTGAACTGCTGCATCAGCAAGTACAAAACTTTGGATATAAAATTCCAACCAGCGCTACGCCAAAGGATCTAGATCAATCCTCTAGCGAAAATAAACCACAGACGGTGCGTATTAAGCCTACACCGGAAACTAAATTCGATCTTAAACAATCTACAGCGGTAACGCCGTCAGATCTCGAGCCATCTGCCTCGGAAAACAAACCTGTCGTAGCACATTTTGAGCCAACAGCACTGCCGTTTCGAATACACGTAGATGATGGAGCGACATCGGGAGATGGCAGTTCATCATTAGGTGGACCATCTACCTCCAATGACATGCAAGCTCAGGCCAGCACTCATAGTTTCCGCATGCTGGCGCGCCTCCAACCCATCGCGATGCCACTGCAGGTTTATCAATTGCATTCTATGCCGTTCCAACAGCCACTAGGATTCTCATTGCCTGCCATAAGAGCGGTAGTGCCGAATAATGCAACCTGAATATGACAGATGTTTAATAAAAGACATGGTTCGTAAGACTGAGCAGAATTAACGCGCAAAATAGATCTAAGCCATGATTTATAACATAATTTTTCTATGTAATTTACTCTTATAAGATAAAATCTTTATATGCATTTGAAATATTATCTATTTTTTTAAGATTAAGAACTTAACTTTAGATGGCTAAAGAAAGACGCTGGCAATATCGGAGCAATGGAGGTATTTTTGCTAATAGAACCGCTAAACTAAACTAAATGTATTTATTGAATAATTTTCAAAGCCTTTGTCGATGGTAGGGCACGGTACCACTATGAAAGGAAACGTGTTTAAAAAACCGTATATGAAGATGGAGTCATCTCAAATTACGAAAATGTATAGGTTTAATACTTCCTAGCAAAGTAGAAAAGATCGAATTCCTATGTATCAATATAGTAGACATGGCGTCGTCACTTAATTTCAATGGAATCTATATTCGTCCGAAGCGAATTTATATTTCGATATGTCATAGTGGGGTTTTGATATTTTAGACGGTATAAAATAAGTATCGAGCGAAATCAATATTTCGTTCTTAAAAACGAAGTGATGAAATATATTTGACTCCGACATTCCAAAAATAAGTTCTGAAGATTTCTGAGAAATATTATTAATAGTAATGTTAGTTCTAGCTCGTGTCATAACTAAATCGTGAACAAGACACATACCATATATTAAATTTGCCACCAAGCAGCAACCAGAGGGAAACGTAGGAGACCTATAAAATATATATTGTATAATGATTAGCATGATGAGCTGGGTCGATTTAGTCAGTAGTAGTTCCTAAGTTTCTGAGATATCGAGCTGAAATTTTTAAACGCTCTTTTCTTCCCAAGAAACGATATTGGACGACTATAGCATGTAGCTGTCATACAAACTGGCTGATCTAAATGAAGTTCTTGTATGGAAAACTTTTTTATTTGACAAGATATCTACACGATACACAGATTATTCTCCAAGGAAACGTTACAATCTCCGAAAAAAATTCCAATCGGACAACTACAGGATATAGCTACCATACAAATTGACTGGGAAAAATCAGGTCCCACGACAGTCGGGTCTACGTAACCGGAACGGACCCGGATTTATTCTGGCCAAGGACTGTCAACTCGGCAGAATTCTGTCGCTACAACAACAACAACAACTGGGAAAAATCAAGTTCTTTTATGGTAAACTATTTTATCTAGTAAGAAAACTATTTCGTTTGTTTGAGTAAGCAAGACAATTGAACAATATCAGATTCAGTACTTCTGCTGGTTGAGATGTTACCTATTATCTATAGGATTAGGAAATGTTGACCTAAGAAATGTTAACGTCAATGATTTTCATTACTGAAATTCGATTTAAAGATCGTAGACTTTATATTAAATACAGTTGTCATTATTAAATAATACCCTCCTTAATCGGTCAGACGGAGGAGCTAGAACATTAACATTTGATATTAAAATATTTGTTGTATGAAAGTCGTTAGTTGTTAGTAGGGCAAAGTGGACCTCCTTTATAATATAACCTATTATAGATAAAATTTGTGTAATTAATACTTACATACAAGTACGTTCCCATAAACTTTTAACTAAATTTTTTAATTACAATAATGAAGACGTTTCGTTTTTTTAAACAGTTTTTAATTCAATAAAAATAATGTATGACACCTTACTACTCTTATATAGTAATGAAAAACTTAAAATTTATCTTTATAATTAATAAAAAACAGTTAAAAACTAGGTATCGAGGTATTTAGTTTCACATCACTTGTTCTTGTTTTAGCACGCCTGCTTCTTCCAGCAATTGCTGAAAGCCATCTGGTATGTTACCTTCACTAAGTTCTGTGCTCCATTTTTTGTACTATAAAACAAATAACGCATTTTAAAATAAATTTGATTATTCAAGGAAACTAATAGTTATTTTTATTGACCTACTCGCTCCAGTTCTTCACGCAAAGCCAATACAGCCTTTTCTCGATCGGCGACTAGTTCTTCCAAATACTGGTAACGTAATTTCTTACGTGCTCGACATTCCCGTGCACTTTGACGACTACGCTCTGGAATTTAATGAAATTTTTCATTACGTTAATCCTATTCGGATTCCCTCTGATGAAATTACAAACCTAATTTGGCCCTTATATCCACTTTTTCCGTTGAAGCTTTACGTCCTGGCTTACGTCCCCTTTTGCCCGTCTCTTTGCGTTCCTGAAAATATCATACAAAACGAAATTAATTCAATATCATACAAATATCTAATACGCTACCTCATAAGCAATTCTTTATTTAAAAGATATTTAAGGGTTGAATCTTTTGTTCTTAAGTTAAGTCGTAATCCAACTCAAAAGTACAGCCAAACTATTGCGTAGTATTTAATGTGTTAAATTTCTAATGCTGTTGTAAATTATTACAAGCTATTGATTTATTTCAAACAAAAAAATATTAATTATTTATCTATCCCAAATAAAGTACGCACTAAAGCGTCCTTGAACTTCTCGACACCTATAACAGGTAATAAGTATTACTCACTGAAAGATTTGGCTCCTCTATGACTTGCATTTCATCACAATCCATAATTTATTCAATGTAAGTATATCTGAGTCAATTATATTAAAAATTGTAAAAACAAATAGTATTTCTTTTAGCTACACTTCGTTTTTGTTTTCTTTGTGTTCTAATAGGATTGCCAAACTATAAAACTTACAAAGTAACCGCAGATGTCGCCGCAATTCACAATGTTGCATTTACACTAGATTAATAATTATACGTGTCAGTATTTTTTGTAATAGTCATATAAGATATTAATAAAAGTATTCATCCAATGAACAACATATTTGTTTGCTATATAAGAAATCGTTATAATGAATAGATCCTAACTAAGACAGTATAATGTGGCAACATATACATGTGTCTAAATACCGTTCTTAGCGGGAATTCACAATAGATTTGGGCCGCGTATATTGCTGATTTGTTCTTGTGTTCTTATTGATTTTGAAAACAAAATTTGCTTATTTCGTAGTAAAATGGATAAAATCGAACGAAATGATGGCACTAATCGTGATGAATTGATTATGCAGCAACAACGTGAAATTGAAAAAGAGGTATGTGCTCAATTATAACATAAAATATACAGACGGTTTGTTTGTTGGTGTTGACAAAGAACTCTCGTCCAGCCTCCCCTCAACAAAGGCAAACACCTAAGATTTTGTTTTGGTTTACACACAGATAAGTGATTCGACACCATTGGTAAGTGAACAACTGCCTATAACTTGCCTTAATGCTGAGTATCTTGGTGATGAAGTTTTCACATCAAAAATTCAAGATCTTGCCGGCAAGTATAAGTTCTTACGACGTACCCGCCCTGACGGTAACTGCTTTTTTCGTGCATTCGCTTATGCTTACTTAGAGCATTTAATATCCAACAAAGATGAATATCTACGATTCAAAGACTTGGCGGAAAAATCGAAAGATAAGCTAGTGCAGTTGGGATTCCCTAGCTTCACGCTAGAGGACTTTCATGATACCGTACGTATGCATGTACATAAAAATGCTGTATGGAATATAACAAATTATTATTTACAGTTTATGGAAGTTGTTAAACGAGTAGACCCTGCAAGCGGTTCCACAGAACAAGTATGTGACGAGCTACATAAAGTGTTCAATGAACAAGGCTACTCTGATTATGTAGTAGTCTATTTGCGCTTACTTACATCCGGAAAGCTACAAGAAGAGGCTGATTTTTACCAGCACTTCATTGAAGGCAATTTTACAATTGAGGAATTTCGTCATCAGGAGGTGGAACCAATGTATAAGGAATCAGATCATATACATATTATTGCGCTCTGTACTGCTTTAGGTGTAGGCGTGCGCGTAGAATATATGGATCGGGGAGACACGCATGTGAAGGCGCACGACTTTCCAGAGGGTAGTACGCCAAAAGTGTTTCTAATTTATCGACCGGGTCACTATGATATTTTGTATCCCAATTAAAATATGAACTTAAAGATATCAATGCCTCAAAGCAAGTAGCTAAGCTGCCTACTTCTTTCCTAAGTTGCTAAGAGTATGTTAAATGTATGTATGTATATTATTTGTGGCGCTAATTGTATATTTGGCAGCTTGGATTGATTTCCTCTTTAATTACATACATTAACGAGTTCTAAATAATTTTAAATGATATGATCGTACGAGACATTTAACAGCAATTATATTTTTTATTTATAAATACATTGCAATCAATTTATTTTCGAAAATTTGCGAAATTTCACACGAGTAAATTATGCAGATATATTGCTGTAATTACTCATTAAATTAATATTTTCCTAAAAATACAAATTAAAACTAAATGTTCTTAAAACAATATAAATTTGTGTTTTTAGATTACTAAAGTAAGTTAAATAAGTACTCTTATTCCAGTTCTGGCACTACAATGGGCAGCAATAAAAACGCATACAAATATATTTTCATGGAATGTAATATTCTTATAGTTTAACTAACTGTTTCCAATTGGCACACGAAAGTAAGACAAAACGAATTAATTACATAAATACAATGTAACTAAACATTCCAATACAACAGATTCCATTCCGAACTTTAGACAAGCACTGACCGCCATTCACAGTGGAGCCATCAGCACCTTCATCGACTCCCTCTCAGTGAATGGCGTACTAGGAGTCAAACTACCACCCATCGCAGACGTACAGCTCGATATACCTCGTGAATCGAGAGTGACCCTCGCGCAACTTCATCCAGGATACTGTAACTCCTACTTATCCAGAATCGACCCCAACTATGTGTTCTACATGCAATGAGTCTCCGCATGACACTAACCACCTCTTTGCATGCCCAACGAACCCCACTTATCTAACACCCCTTTCCCCTTGGTCCGACCCCGTTGTTATTGCCGGATAAAAAGCCAGGTCCGTTCCGGTCAACTATATGCTGTAGAAGGCCTATAACGACGCTTCCGACAAATAATCAGCTTGTTGTGGAAAAAATTACAAAACTGTTTTACTTTGTAATTACTGTGCAAAATTCTAGATGGATATCTCAAAAACTGAGCGACTAGTTTGCATATATACAGACGGACATGGCTAAATCGATCTCAGCTCGCCATGCTGATCAAATATATATAAATTTTTACTGGGTCTCCGACGTTTCTTTTGGGTATAACAAACTTTGGGTCACACTTAATATAGAGGTTATAAAAATATTATAGGTAATAGCACCTATAAAAACAACCAAACCAAATTAAAAATTATCGATCGACTGTTAAGAAAAACTCGGTTTTTATCTGTACGAATATTTATTCTACTCTGTAGTTTATACAATATTTATTTAAACAATTAACGGATTTTTATTTATTAGTTACATGCCTTCCCAAAGTGCATAAAAACTATACGATAAATTTACCAATTTATTTTAATCTTTTGCACTAAATTTGATAGATATATTTATTCATTGCTTTACTCTTAAATTCTCCTTTAATAATCAACTAATGAGTAAATTTCTATTATATTGGACACGGTCGTTGAAACACTTTTTTTAACTTATTACATGATATATATTTTGTGTAAGTGTGAGCGCTTTACTACTGTTATGCGTATATAAGAAGATACAATTGAACATGCAGCTTGCGCTTTTACAACTTAGCATCCGTTGTAGCTAGTCAATCCGCAGAACAGACGGCCATAGCTTCTCCTTTCTCTTCTTCCAGTTCCTTGCCAGTAAGAGCCAACTTCGATTTAGCAAAGTCATCTAACTGCAAACCTTGTACGATTTTCCATTTACCTTTGCTGATTTCTACTGGGAAAGAGAAAACAACATCCTTGGGGGCACCGTAGCTACCGTCCGAAATTACACCCATCGAAACGAACTGACCAGATGTGGTACCATGCCACCAATCATGCATATGATCGCAAGCCGCTTTAGCTGCCGACATAGCCGATGACATTTTACGTGCAGCAATAACAGCAGCACCACGCTTTTGCACGGTTTCCACAAAGTTACCTTGCAAAAAAGCAGCATCGTTGACAGCATCCCAGACGCGCTTGGTACTGCCGTTAATTTCAACAATACCGTTGCTAGGGTCAGGGAATTGTGTGGAAGAGTGATTACCCCAGATTACAACATTTCTAACGGCACTAATTGGTACGCCCAATTTAGCGGCGATTTGTGCGGTAGCACGATTTTGATCCAAACGAGTCATGGCTGTGAAATTCTCACGTGGAATTGTTGGTGCATAATGAGAGCATACCAATGCATTGGTATTGGCTGGATTGCCAACAACCAAGACCTTAATATCCTTGCGTGCATGCTGGTCAATAGCTTGACCTTGTGCTTTGAAGATTTTCACATTGGCGGACAACAGATCCTTACGTTCCATACCCTCTTTGCGTGGCATGGCGCCGACCAAAAAGGCAGCGGAAACATCCTTAAATGCTACAGCGGGATCGGCGGTGGGGATAACTTGACGCACGAGTGGCAGAGCACAATCAGCCAATTCCATGACAACACCCTCAAGTACGCCCATCATTGGAGGAATATCGAGTAAATGCAAAACTAAAGGTTGTTCCTTACCGAACACCTCGCCACGTGCAATCATATACAGCAGAGAGTATGCAATCTGACCGGCAGCACCAGTGACAACAACACGAATTGGTTCAGCCTGCATATAAAAGAAAAAGGTTTCGTCACCAAAGGAATTAAATTTAAATTTAATATAAAAATAAATGAGTATGTAAACAGAAAAGACGGACAGGTTGTAAGAAATGGTAGATATAAAATTCTTGGTACTTAGATACAATAAATGTTTTATTCTTACGGTGTACATGGCTTTGAAACATACACTTGTGGATTGATATATTATAAATACCATATATCCATTGGCATATCAACCTTAAATATTCGCACCATTTCCTTTAAATATTCCTCAAAATGCAATCGAAAATATTTTGTTTCTAAGTAAACATCAGTTTCTTTCGTTGCCACATAAACAAGTTGCTAATTATAGATATGAAATTCGTCGCGGTGATGCTAAAAGAAATATTATTAATAGCTATATTCCCACTCAGGCTCTGTTTTGACACAGCTGACATATCCCTAATTTCGCCTCAATAAAAACAATAATGCCTTTGCCTTTCGAAAGATGGTAAACTTTTTTATATGTCGTGTTATTGACCTTGAGATTATAGTTGTTGTAGCGGCGCCAAGAAAAATTAAGATGCATTTGTTTATTACATTACCTTCCTCAACTATTAGTGCACTAGTGTAAAGTAGTTTTGTGTGCATGTAATCGACATCATTGGGACGTATGTACAAATACATAAATTGTACACAAATAATTTAATACATTCCTATAATGGCTACTCAATTTAAAATTTTTAAATAGATTTCATTTAAGATGAAAAAAGTATAAATATTAAAATAAATATCACTATCAACAACAAAGTCAAAAGGTCCATATCAATTATATGTACGTCAGTTGGTCAAATAATTAAAAATTAAACGTTTATAAATAAACATCACTTCGCCTGACAACAAAACAGATGTCAAACAGGCGAGCCTCCGTTACTCGTAGTCGTACATCAATTGCTTATCTTTATGAATATGCTTGCATTGGTATTATCACATATATAGTTGACAACTGTGCTTTGTTGTATGTACCCAGAATTGTCATTGTAAAATATTATCACAAAGTAGAAATCAATGCGTGCACGAGCGTCAATCCGCATATACAGATCTACTTATTTACTGAGTTTTTTTATGACATAGTGCCCCTACTAATCTTATTTTTGTTTTTAAGAGACTTTGAAAAATCTATTTATAAAATCATATTACGCTTAGATAATCAAGACAGAACTTACCTAAAACAATTTTTCAACATCATAAACATTTGATCTAACTTACCACTATCTAAATATATTCCTAAAGCATTTTTTTATAGTATAAATTTTTGGGTTTAGATTTTTATTTTTAATGTAACGATCAATCATATTGTAAAATCTTTTCAAGCATTGATAATTCAATTTCGGTATATTAAAATTTATTATATAATACACAATCTTCCAAAACGTTACCCTTTGGCTTTGATAACCACAAATGATGGCAAATGAGAAATGTATTGCCGCATATGTGTGCATCTACATATAATTTCTATACATGTATGTATGTAGTTTCCGGCCGGTTCGCTGCATATACATAATAACTTGCATAGATAGATAAGACTTCAAGGTCATCTTTTATCTCAATTCCACTACAAATTCTCATACAATTTATATGCAAAATTTTGCATTTGTGCTATTACACGCACACCTTGTACAAGCGAAAACATTGCTTTTTGTTGGTGTCGCTATTTTACCAACAACAGTATGTTTGCAATCAAGTGGGTCCAGATAAAGCAAAGTCCCCTATTAATAGCGAACTGAAAATTTTGAAGTTCATTTTTGCTGACGTACTGGATTTGGCGCATATATTCGACGGAATACTCTAATATTATTCTATTTGCGCTATATATTTTCACTTCAATACATAGAAAAAAGGTCAAATGAATGTTACAAAGTATTTACTATGGTTCTGATACGGATTTTTTATATTTTACAGAATTTATGAAGTGGAAGCCCTTAAAATATGGTATGATACTTGATTACTTATTCCAAAATGTTAATATGTTGGTGAACTTACCATTTCTGCTTAGTTCCTTAAAAACGTTTGCGAAAACAAGAGATTAAAAATAAAGTAAATGAATAGTAATATTCGACAAGGTAGAAAATTTGTAAGCTATTTTTCACTTAGAACCGCACAAATAGATGGAGAAATGGAGAATAATCAGCTGAAATGTCAAATTTAATATTTTGCTTGGAGTGACGAAGGCGAGTACACGAAGCACGCAGTGTTGCATTTATGCATTTAAGGCCAGTACATTGTAGAAGTACAAATTTTTATCAATCATTGGGTTAATTAAAAATTATTAGAGTCTTGAATCAAGATAGTCATGCATTATTATATTTATTATTTTACAACGTAAGCAACTTGAAAACAACGTCGGTTACATTCACAATTTAGTTAATCGAAATAAATATATGTAAGGATAAGGGTTCAATTATATAAGGATGTGTCGATAGTCCAAAACAACAATTTTTCTAAAGTAATTGAATCTATAATGTCAAAATTAGCCATTTTGCTTTGTACTATTTTGATTTTATGATTCAAAAATAAATTTTTCAAAGATTTCCACCAACGGAAATGCGGATTTTGAGTAATAACTGAATATGAACAGATTGTAAATCACACAAAATCATTATATTGTAAACAGAAAATTCATAAGAAAAACAAAGTTTATGGATACTAAGACTTCTTTCGAAAGAGGAAGCACCTTAATAATTGAATCATGGTAAGGATGCATTTAAGGACATTTGTGATACACAATCGTCAATCTTTCCATCAAACTAGGAATCGTCAGATAATTTTTGAAAATCACTTCTAATAAAGTAGCAAATATATAAGAAGGGAATTTAATTTTTTGACATGCCTCAATTTTTTTGTAACTTCGGAAAATTTACGCATTGACAAGTTTGGGAAGAAAACACAATTTCAATTTAAAACTTATTAAACTATCTAAAGACAGGCTCATCGCACTGCTTAGTATAATTTATTATAAGCTACATATATTATAGCTACGAATAATATAAAGCAAAATCCATTCATATATACCTTATAAATTCAAATACATAATCATATATCATATTTTATAGCCATTATAAGAAAAAACATAAAGATAGGAGAATAAATTGTATGATCGTTTCACAACAAAGCTGTCTACACAGCTTGAATACTTTGATAAAATCTTGGTTTAGCTGATTGTTGCTACAGCAATTTTCATTTTTATTTGTTCGTTTGCAAACGCTGATGCCCAGAAGTGACGCCAAATATCCAAATATTAAAAACTGCATGAAAACCATATGCCTTCGCCAAATTGTACAACCACTTCATATATACATCATTTCAGCCATTGTTGACATTTTCTTCGGTATGTGCACAAATGTTTCAAAATAGCTGGCAAGTTCATCGATCGTTACATCGTCGCTGGTGCCACTGCTATTTGATATTCCGGCGGCACCGTTTCCTGCTTGTTGTGAGCATGACGTGCTTGTATTGGAACGGGTATTACTTCCAATATTTCTTTCTGGCGAACAAGCTTGAGCACCGGTATGTGCAAAACTATTTCTCTCTTTGTTACTAAATAGACTTCGTGAAAGCATAGATGACTGCATTGTTGTAAAATTTTTTGAAGTACGTTGATCTGGACTTACTAAACCAAATCGCCCTTTTACATCATTTTCTAAATTTAATAAATTTTCACATTCATGAATTAAATCACGAAAATCGCATATTCCTCTACTCGATCCTGGTGATACCAAATTCTTATTTACTGACGAATTCAGAACGTTTCCCATTGCAGCTGTAGAGGTTTGTTCGTTATCAACTTTAGGCAATGTGTGCAGAAGCTTCTGTAAATTTTGCAGTTTACGCAGCACTGGCGGTCGCAATATACTACGTCGATGCTTTAAAGATTGTCTTTGAACTCCTAATATAGTGTGTGTTCCACAGGAAACATCAGAAGTATCTGTAGACAGAACTGTTGTTGCGGATTTGTATGCATCAGCACTACTCTCGGAACGACGACGCAATCTGCAACGTCGACAACCTTGATTATATCTTTGCATTTGGGTTGAACTCGAAACAATCTTTCCATCTTCAATTTTTAAGTCGGTCGAATTCGAATCACCTTCATAAAAAGGATTCAAATTTAATGGTAATTGTGCAGTATCAATAAGATTAATTGCTCCTAAGTGGGCTGGATCCGTTGAAGTGATTTCCAATTTATGGAGTTCGCTTGAAATTTCTTCCGTCATTTTGAAGCTTTCTTTCATACTGTACAAACAGTTATTTGCACAATTTATTTTGAATTCCTTGGCTTTACATTGACCTATATCGTTTGAAAATTTTCGACGAAAATTACGGTTCCTAACAAAATTTTTGCCAAAAATTTTATATTTTCACTTCCACAACTTTTTTCTTCGTCTCACTCTTCAAGTCTTATTTGTTATTGTTTATTTGACTTGATTATTCACCATGTTCTTATTGTCCAATTTTATTTTTTGCTTTTTAAAGATTAATAACTTTAAATAGGTGCGTAATTTTGTTAATTCGTTTAATATTTATTATTGGTGTTATGTTGATTTTTAACACCAAAATTTTCTTTCTGTTGTGGGTGATTTGCCAAATCTTTCTTTCTTTATTTTTTCTCTATCATACGTGGTGTGTTTAGTGTAAGATATTTGTTCACCTAAAATATAGTGATATTGAGGATTCTCGTAAACACATTCACCGGATTGATCTAGAAAAATGTATAAAAGGATCAAAGGATACCGTTTTGTTCTTAAATACTATATTATTTATAATAAGAGCGATATGCAAATTAAAGAGTTATAAAAGGGTTAAATTTTTCTAAGTCGCATTAAAACCTTCATAACACTTAAATTATAGCATAAGATCAAAATGTTTTCGAAAATATTAGGGGCAAGTAGATTAAAAATTTATGGATACTCTTTGGTGATAAAAGACAATAGTCAAAATATATAAATCTAAAGTTATTGCAGTAATTAGTAATGTTTTGTTTAATTTTTAAGAGAATAGAGGAATGTTTGCCACTGTCGTTGTTGTTTTAATTTATTATAGAATTTTTCATGAATGTGGCATCATTTATTAAGTTGAAGCAGTTTGTGTGTGTCTTTTTGCTGCGAAATTTTCACTCATCTCAAATTGTGAAACGAAGATATAAATAAATCGAAATATTCTGCGATATCTTATATAAAAATCGTGTTTGTTTTTTTTTTGTGTACAAAGCAGTGTAATTAATATACAGGGGAAAATTTGGTAGCAAAAAGTAAATCGTAATCCTATTGTGAAACTCAACTTGGTATTTTTTTTTGTCAGTTTGTCATAAAAGAGTTGCCAATTAAAAATTAGAAGAGTGTGTATAAAAACGGTGATAACTGTCAATAATTTAGTTCTAATCTGGCAACGCCGATCGTCTGAGGATTTTGCAGCACAGAAACGGAAAACAACGAAAATGACGGAGTAGTTTAATAAGTGGTGAGTGAATGCGATTGCAATTTAATATATGATTTTTATACCTTATATAGTGTATTTCTAAAGTACTTAATAATAAATAATATTTAAAGGTATTAGAAAATTTGTTACATATATCATAAAAAATTGTTAGTAGTGGAAATCTTACGAAACGATAATAAAAACGTCCATTTGCACTTCTCGTTTCGCATTTTCGACGTTGTGCTCCTGTATTTTGCCCTTCAATCGAACCAATTTTCTAGCTTTTATTTGGTAATCCTTCGCACATCAGCCCAATCATAAAATGGTAAGAGCTAAAATCTAATTCCCTTGGACATTCATATTAAAATTGATTTCTTCAGTGTTTTTTTAACGCAAACATATTCCTATTTATTCTCATTATTCGGAATGCGATGAATTACAAATTTTATTGATGTGCATTAGTGAGTACATACGAAATATGTAATGAGTTTGGACTAAATTAAAAAAAAAGTAGCTAAACGACGGCAGCTAAGTAAAGTTAATGAAAAAGACGTGCGCCTTTGTTCCAAGATTTGTGCCATCGTTTTCACTGTATGCTTTGTCCGTCGCGTGTCTTTATTTGTGTTTTCTCAAGAGTCATTAGCTCATGTGTGTTCATCTTTTGGAAAAGGTGTGCAAATCATTTCTTACTTATGTACACATACACATGTGTATCAAAATTTGTTGTGCTGAGGTGATTGCTGAGCATAAATATGATCGAAAAAAATCCCATCTCATCGAGAAGTTTTTACAAATTTACATATGTACCTTATCAAGATGAGAGTCTTCCCTATGTATACGTTTTTGGGATAATAACCTCATTGAAATTAATTTAATGAAACACAAGCACAAATTTGTAATTCTTCCACAATATCGTTATTATTTTTTGCATACGAGAGTTTACCGTTTGACAGAAAGGCGGAAAGGTACCGTTTCACTTTGTGTGTAATGCTATTGTAATGCATGTAATATTAAATATAATACACAACTTAAATTTTTATAACTAAAAAAGAATGATGGTTTCTTTACAGATTTAACTCAGTAAAACATAATCGATAAAACGAGTCATCAAAAACTGAAATTGTACTTCGAGAAATTCGAAGGTATGTAAAATATTTTTTGGTTTTTAAAATAATACATATATTACATTTATATGTACTTGTCTAGATCGCAGGCCTGTGACATAATGTTTAAATAAATGAAAGCTTACTTACTTACATGTATTAAATAGAATTGTGATTTTCATGGATTTGTATTCGAAAAGTGCTTAGCAATTAAAATAATTTATAATTGATTACTAATCACATATATGTACATAAGTATATATGTATATGCACATGTATTTTGTATATTTGTGTACATAAATGTGCGTTGCAAAAAAACTACTCATTGATGTATTACTATCATAATTGCTATTTTTTAATGTATGTATGTATTTTATTTTGTATAAACACCCTTAATTTGTACATAAATGTACACATGTACATTTAAATTGTTTTCTAATCTCAAACAAGCCAATATTTTATACGCAGTTTAGTTTTAAAAATCTCTGCAATTATGATTTGGGGTTAAAATGGGTATGGTTGAATAGAGGAGATTCTCCAAATTAAGAATATATATAATTATAGTTAATTTTTCTTTTATATTATGCACATATTATTCATGCACA